GTCTGATCTGCACGTCATCATGGCTGAAGCTTCTTCGAGGCTCAGAGGTCTGCGGGAACAACCCGGACACGTGCAGGAAATGCTGCAAAAACCAGTACTTTGGCACCCTCTAGAAGCAAGAATGCCTGAAAGTACTGCGCCCGGCAGCAAAATCGCAAGCCTGAACCCGTCGCATGTTGCGCGCGAACAGGGCTCTGGAGGGTACAACCAAAGCTCGAGTACATGGGCCGGAGGCCAAGCACATGCCGCTAGTGGTCCTCCATGTTCCCTCCACAGACCTCGCCCGAGAAGGAGGACGAATTACCGACAGTGGCGTCATCATCATTGGGCGCACGGTGCCGTTCTCGTTCGTCAAGGAAGCATGGTTTTGCGTACCGAATCCTCGAGATACACATTCGTTCACGCTGGTGGAAAAGATCTACGATGAAAGATTGGAGAACGAGATGGTGTTGGATTTTAATGCATCCCCGTTGCTCCCGGAATTCGAGCGGTACAGGACGCCGGGCAAGATCTTGGAATTGCTTTGTGACATGCCCCGAGGTCCTCACGATACAAGCAAGGAGCAGATAATGCGCAACCTTACAGGCGTGCTCGAGACCCACAGGGAGAACACCGTTCGGCACCACCACATGAATCAAGCCATCAAGTTCGTCATCAAGAATTGGCGACCCGAAGATCTACGAAGAGATGAAGATGGCAGGAGAATGAGGGTGTGCCCGGCATGGTACAACATTGTTCCGGCATGCTTCTCCCGATGCACATCGTGCTGGTCGCAGTTCATCTCGTGCGGTTACTATCAAGGCACCTCACAACGGGAGACTCCTACGGAGATCCCAAGTGAATTCATTGCCCAGACAATGGAGGCTGCAGCCGCAGCGGTACCTGAGACAACTGCTGAGGAACAAGAGGCCATGGAGATCGAAACGGTGGCAGAACCCGAAGGCATCCCCGACGCTTCCATCATCGGAGAAGAAGATGCAGAGCAGGAGCCCGATGAAGAGATGGACACTGAACCAATGGAGGACTTTGACGATGAGGTGTCTGAAAGTGTGGCACTGGAACGTCGTCCTGTCCTCATTGCTGGTCATTCTTTGAACATCGACCCTGAGCTGCAGATCGCCCGCACTGCTATGCAACCGCCTTACTACCATAACAGGAGAAATGCCCATTGCATTGACGCTAACATGGCCGCTCTCTCCTACATGGCGTTTGTGGTCTGCAGGTGCATTCACAAGACATGGTCAGGTTTGGCGAAGTGGGCGACGATGCCATTATTCCAAATGAAAGAAAGTTTCTCCCAGGGCCAACGCTATGACGTGCTTGGAAAATGGGATGAACTGGCGGAAGTGGACTCCGAGACCGGAGTGAGCAGGGAGGTGACTGATGAAGAAATCATTCGCTACGCCAAGGAAAGGGAAGACACCAAGCAGTATGATCCCAACGGGACATACACTCTCAAGCGCTTCCGAACGAACCAGCTGATCTCATTGTTGATCCGGGGTGCAAACATGATGGGAATTAGCAGGGACGTCTTCAATCCAAGCACCTACCTGAAGAATGAGAGTGACGTGAAGGTCATGCACTTCTGTTGCTTGAACGTTCTTTGCGAAATTATTCCCATGGTGACAGGACATTCGCAATTTTCTGTTCTTCGACCTACACCGACTGGACCAGTGGAGTTTCTGTACATCGACCCAGTTGGGATCCTCCTGATGCACACGGACCATTCCGTGCAGACCATCGGATTGCTTGTGGATCACAACGTTCAGATGCCGTCACACTTCATGAAGAAGCTCACTGCCAGCAGGCTTGAAAGAGAACGGAATCCCAAGGCGCGTCGTCCTGAAGCCCTACATCATATTTCAGCCGATGAGTATCTTCCGCGCCGACAGACCTCCATCATGGACACACCTGTCACAGCAGAAGAAACCGAAAGTGCTGCCGCAGCCAAAGCCAACCCGAAAGCTCGCCAACGAGGAGGTGGAAGACATGGAGGTTGGAATTCCAACACTTACCATGACTACATCGAGGGGAAGAGCAGAAACAAGGGGAAAGCCAAGGGAAAGGGCAGATCTCCGTACCCAGAAGAAAATCTCAGGCCCTGGGAACGTGATCCTGCATCGGATCCTGCGGCTACCCGTCAATGGTTGCGGGACAACACGTGATCGGCAATTCCATCCAGCACGTGACCTCTGCGCTTCGCTCATGAATTTCATTGCGAATGCCTCTTTCTTCGGTGACGCCTGATTCGTTTGTCATTTCAATTTCAGGGGATCGTCATTGACGTAGAAGAGTGTCACACCGTTTCTAATTGGGATGCAAGGCTCTGATTCCACATTTCAAAGTTGCGGCGGACTGATCCCTCGTGTTCCTATCGCGCCATCTTCCGGGTGAGCAGCGTCGGAGACGCAACTCATGGGGGGTGCGAACGGACTGCGATGCCTAGTCAAGTTCTATGGTGTCACGATAAGAGCTGTGAGCATGGCCATGTAAAGTCAAGAGTGAAGGCACGCTACGCGTCCTTCATCTCTAGGTGTAGGCTTGTGGAAGTGCTACGCACGCCGCAATGCCGAACCATCTTACCATATCTCCGCCCACGCAACTTTGGCTCAAGAATGAGCACAAGCTCTAGAAAGCATTGCCAATAGCTAAACTAGCTATCGTCTTCTGTGACCTTTCCGAGGGACAGAGCCATCCCGAGCACAGACGATCCATCGCTGGCCGCGAAGGTGCAAAACAAGCGAGTTCTGGATCTGCCTGCGCTGGGAGTGAAGCTTACGTGTGGAAGTGAGAGAGACAGTGATTGAGTTTGTAGAGGGCAACCACATCAGTATTCAATATAGCTCTGTGGGGTGAGCGACAAGGAACATCATCAAGATCAAATCCCCACGCATCAACACCCATTTCCTTTTAGGGATTACACTCTCTCTACAGTCGCTTTACTCCTTTTAGGGCTTAGGCTTTTAAACACCTCATCTCTTTTTAGGGTTTAGGCTTTCACGACCAGCGTGTCCTTTTAGGGCTTGGGCGTTCTTTCATCTTAATGTTTAGGCTTTCTTCACCAGCATTTCCTTTTAGGGATTAGGCCCCACCCTCCTCCCCCCACCCTCCGCGCTTCTATTTCGATAGCGGCGGCGTGTAGAAAACACTGCAAGGTGCAGACAAAACACTGGCGGGAACAGGGACTCTTGTAACTCCATACGTAAGATGGGACCGGCGACGATAGAAACGACGACAGATCCACACCTGCGCCGAACCCCCCCCCCTCGCGGTTCCAAGGTGGCACAGCAGTTGCGATGGCCAAGTGCCCAGAACACTGGCAGGCACCTGGGATTTGGGCCCTGCATGCCTGAGCCGGCGAATGGACCCAGGACCCCACTGCGGATCCATCCAATCCGCATGAAACTGCAGCTTCACCAACCTTGCAGTCAGCTCCTGAGCAAATATCCACGCCGAGAAAGCCGACGAGTACCCCAACCGAGGTCACTGCATCACCAGCAGGGGTCCAGTGCTCTGAGACCATGATTGCGGAATCGGTCGAGGGCTTGCAACTGCAAGCCGTTCAGCCCGAGAACATTTCCGAGCTGCAGTGCGAGTTGGGTTCAAACCATACTAATGAAGTTGCAGCCGTGCCTTCTTGCGGTACCTCCTCACAGCCTACTTTACCTCCTGAGAAGCAGACTGCTCTTGCTCTACCTACACATGCACCAGTGCTTTTTCAAGAACGTATTCATCTTGTTGTGCAGCGCGGACTGAACGCTTTCATTGCCGAATCAAGCCTCACAGCCTCCATGCAGCAGTCCTGTGCTTTATGTGGGCAGTGGATAGCCTCACAAAAGGTTGTCAAGACACACTACCAGCATACACATAAATTCCTCTATCAACAACTTGCACACAAAACAATCAAGCTCATCGAGCAGAAAGCCACTCCGTGTGTACAGTGCCACTTCTGCCACCGCAAGACCAAAGACTGGAAGGCCCATTTGCTCAAATGCACCACACTCTGGCAATGTGCCTTTCTATGCGTGTTGCACGAGGAATATGGCCTACGGGGACCCGGACTGGGACGAGTTCTTTGGCGAACTCCACGGGGAGGACTTGCCGATGACGAATGCTGCTCCATGGACCCAACCGACAACGGACAACCCCTTCACGTTCACGGGCAACAAAAGGCGGCGGAATCCTTTTGGAGAGCAACAACCGGTACCGCACAACATGCGACGGCACCCGTTTCAAGGACCACCACCACGGACTCCAGTCAGAGACCCATTGCTCTATTCTTTAGCAAAAACGGTCTTACAACAACAGGAGGAGCTCAAGGTTCTCAAACAGGACACGGCCCTGGTGCTCTTTCTTCGCCCAGGGGAGGACAACGTGCTACACCACCTCTACAAAGTGGCGGCGCACTTCAAAGCCAAGCAGGAGCAGGACGCCACATGGCAACTGGGACAGAATCCTCTTCGCATGGTCTTGGCCATAGCACTCTTCAAGGAAGTCACGGACCGCCTGAACCAGACCATTGCTTCGCAGGAAAAGCTGAAGAGAGCGGTGGATCAAGGATGGCGAGATCCACAAGCGGGCTGGAGATACCAAGTTTGGAACCACAAAACCAAACAACTCCAGGTCGATGCCAGTCGACCACCCATTCCGGAAGACAAACTTCTCGACCACTTCGCCACCATCCTTCAATGCCTTCGGCAGCCCATCGTCAACCGCTTTCGATGCACGAGAAGATTAACAGAAACAATGTCCAGCCCAGCAACCTTCAAACTAGACATGTCAGTTCGAAGCCACAGTGCTCTGACGATGTGGGACACTCTGAAGATGTTGCAAGGGAATGCGGTTTTCCAACTTGCTGGAATGGCCTACAAGACGGAAAGCCTGGCCAGAGGGCCAGTGGAGCAGAAGATCGCGGAGATGGTGTATGGCAGGAGGTAACTGCTGCCCAGCGGTTTGCGACCCAGATTATCCTGCGTAACAACAACAGCTCTATATGCTACATGAATTCCTCCTTTCAGGTCCTGGCATGGCTTATGGAGCAACTTCGACTACCGCAAACACTCCTTTGTGGTACAGGTGCATCTTTGTTCCACGATGTATTCGCGAGATGTCTCCCTATACCCCACAGGTTGACAGATGATCCTCGGTGGCTAACGCTGATCGATGATTGGGGTGAGGTCCATCGTCAACATGATGTGTGTGAATTTCTTGAACACATACTGCAAAAGAATGACTATGGTTTGTTCCAAGGCACATGGCAAGCAAGGTTGCCTACCATGGCAGGGGAGACGCAGCTTGTGGATACAGGGCAGTGCACTCAATCCATTGTTCTTCACATGCCTTCAACCTACCCTACGCCATCGGCCAATTCACTTAGGATTCAATCCTTGGTGGACACTTGGTGCAGGGGAATTGACAGGATACATGGTCTGACAGTCGCGCCCCCGGTGATCCTACTTCAGCTTCATCGCTTCACCAAACAGCGTGATCGTGTACTTAAAAATCACCTTAAGGTGCAGCTGGACCACGTGATCCAAATGCCTTTCTTTTCTGGGGACAGGCACAATCTGTCGCATCGTTCATACAAGCTCAAAGCATTCATTGAACACCATGGAGCCACACCCACTTCAGGACATTATACGGCCACCCTGGTCAACGATGAGGGCTCATGGAGCTGTGACGATGGCAGAGCAGCCAAAGTGAAAACCATGCGGGGTGAGCGACATCCCACTAAAACTGGCTATGCTCTTTTCTACAGTCTCGACGCTGCTCTTGCCACATCTTCCGATGAAGGTTTGGCACACACTGGCGACACACATGCTAGCACATAATGTTCCACGGAACGGTGTGTGTTGATACCTGTATTTTCTGAGATGATCAATCGTATCATGAGCTTATAGCTCCGGGCATTTGAATATGCCTGCTCTTTCCCGACGCTTGGCGACAGGACTCTCCTCGCTGCGAGTGAAGCTGAAGCTACTACTACTACTTTTAATAACAACAATAATATCAACAGTCATAATTCATAATAATAATAATAGTAATACCAACAATAACCATAATGCTAATACTAATAGTAACATTCATAATAATAATAGTGATAATAATAATAGTAATAATATTACCAATGATAATAGTAGTGATAATAACAATAGTAATAGTAATAATTTAATAATAGTAGTAATAATAAGAAGAAGAAGAAAAAGAAGAAGAAGAAGAATAAGAACAGCAATAAGAGCAATAATAATAAGAACAACCACAATGATGGAAATATTCATAATAATAGTAATAATAATACTAATAATAGAGGTAATAACGATAAGAAGAAGAAGACGAAGAAGAAGAACAAGAAGAAGAACAGTGATAACAATAATAATATTGATATTAATAGTCATATGAATAGTAATAATTATATTGATAATAATAGAGAGCGGCCTGCCATGGGGCCTGTGTTTTTGAGTACTGTGTTTCTTGGTCTCATATAGAATTGTACTATGCACGCATGCATTTACGCATGCTACTGTTCACAAAAGTGTAACATTATGCAGTACGTATGTGCATGTATATATACGTGAATGCGCAGGCATGTTTGTTCTTACACATACACATGCACGCAAGCATAAACTCAAAAGCCCGTACATGTGTTTTTGTATATTTGCACTACCGTGGAATGCTCTACCACCACAATCCACTAAGCTGCTTCGAAGCGAAATGAAAAAATCATTTAAGTAGTTGCCTCATGTATCATTCCAGCTTATTTTAACACGTTAACCTACCATGTTAACACCCGGTACTCTGAGGTGCAGAGCCGACTTGCCGTGTTCTGATCCCCTGATGTCCTGACTCGGTGCTGAAGGTCTGTGTGTTTGCGAGAGTACTACGCAGTTGAGTCTGTACTGTAGTATTTCAGCATGTCAGTACGACTTGCTTCTGTGGCGTCTCAGACCAATCCGCAACCCCAATGACTATCGCAAAACTGTATATATTTCTGCCAGTAGGGGACACATATATGTATATATATATATATACGCATCTGGTTTTATGGCGCTGTAACTAACGATGCACACAGAAACCCGGGCATGCCTTCGTTAGCTCATACAGGGATACATACACTCACAAGCCTATGCATGCACTGCTTCTGTGTTTGCACTACCATGGTACGCTCTACTGCCTCAATACGAAGTGCACGGCAGATACGCCAGCGCTTGTAAGCGAAATGAAAGGAAGTATTAAACATGAGTAATTATTTGCATCGTTCCAGCGTATTCTACATTTTTAACACCCGGTACTCTCGGGGGCAGAGCCGACTTTCCGTGTTCTGATTCCCCTATGTCTTGACTCGTTGAAGGCTGTGGCGTGTGAGTACTCAGTTCAATGTTTATTGCAATATCTCAATACAGCCGCATTACTCAATGACTTGCTATAATGGGCCCCACAACAACGCACAGCTAATGTGACCGTGTCAAGACGGTATTTCTGCACATCGGCGAAAACATATACACTATACACGTGTGCTTTGTCTCTTGTGCGGTGCCATAACATATCCTGTCATAGATTGTATCAGGGTTTTACAATATCTCTAAGTTGCCAGGTTAAGAGGTCGGTGACATCATCCATGCTGAGACCAGTATGTATATGAACGTACAGATGGATGGGTAGACAAATAGATAGGTGGATAGATACATGGATAGGCAGATAGATAGATGGAAGATGGTCAGGGAAACTTATCTACATGTATGTCTGCAATATTTGTGTGTATAAAAAGGCAAACTCCACGTGTAGAAGGGACTTTCTAGCACCTGGTTCCTATTCTATGACATGGTGCGGCAGTATATGACCACGTGTTCAAGAGATAAGTCTCCACGATTCCTTATGGTCGAGGCCATCTGGATGCCTTCCATCCTCGCGACTCCCCTTGATATATCCCTATAGTTTACATGGTGCTTGGTCCATTGAATTCTTAGCACACACCGTGAAACCGGAAATGATAGCAAATTCAGGTCGTGTGGTATGCTAGATAAGCTTGGCATGTTCTTCCATATCAAACATGCAACAGGTCATCAAATTTACGGTAATGTTTGTGCAATTGGTGCGGGTTCTCGTGTTCTCCGTCTTGGTTGGTGTCTGGCGCACGCGTGGGTGGGGTTAGAATAGCTACTCATACGGCCCCCGAGTGCCTGTAAACAACAGGATATTGCTTATAAGCAGAAGCAGGGCTAATAAGCAGAAGGCCCCAACCGGCCTGCTTGTAAGCAGACAGCCTGCTTATAAGCAGCCGGATTGCTTATAAGCAGACAGCCTGCTTATAAGCAGCCGGATTGCTTATAAGCAGAAAGCCTGCGTGGAATCATTAGCAGCCGGACTGCTTATAAGCATCACATAAGATAGATTAGACAGTAGTCTTGTCTACGTAGACCCTACACCCAAAAGAACAGCCACAGTGAAAGGTTGTCCGGGCACGTCAGCGGTGGCGGAAACCAAAAAAACCAAACAAACCAAAAAAACCAAACAAACCAAAAAAAAAACAAAAAAAACAAAGATTTCCGCACTAGTCTGAAGGATTCCGACTAGTGCGGAAATCTTTTTTTGTTTGTTTTTTTGGTTTGTTTGGTTTTTTTTGTTTTGCTGAAGGTTTAGGGTGTAAGGTGTAAGGCTTGTGCTTATAACTACGGCTTGCAGGACTTCCAGGGGTCCAGAGGGCCTTCCGAAGCATGCAAAGCAACCCTGAACGACAAGTACCGAACAAGTAGTGCAAAAAGTGCAAAACACTGGGTGTGCAAAAACCCAGGCCCCATGGCAGTCCTTTCTGTAATAGTAACAATATTATTAAAAATAATGATAGTAATAATCATAATAGTAATAATAGAGGTAGTAATAATAATAGTAATAATAATAACAATGATAGTGATAATAACAATAATAATATTAGAAATAATATTATTAATAACAATCATTTTTTGGAATAATATTGATAATAATAAGAATGATAATAGTAATAGTGATGATGATAATGCTACTAATCGTCACCATCATCATGATAATCATGATGAAGAAATAACAGCAATAATAATAAGAATAATAATAACAATGATAATATTATTAATATTACTAACAATAATACTAAGCAGAAGAAACAAGAAAGAAGTGTAATCATATTAGTAATAGTAATAAGAAGAATAAGGAAATGAAATTGAGAAGAATAAGATTAACAATAAGAGGAAGACAACAACGAAGACGGAGCAGACGAAGAATGCGAAGAAGACGAAGCAGACGAATAAGAAGCAGAAGAAGAAGAAGAAAGAAGACGAAGAAGAAGAAGCAGAAGAAGAAGAAGAAGAATAATAAAAAGAAGAAGAAGAAGATTAGTAATAATAATAAGAAGATGATGAAAAACAAAAATAAACATCATCATAATGCTAATACTGATAATGATGGGTATAAGTGTAAGACATAAGAAGATGAAGAGGAAAACCATGTCAAGAATACAAAGAAGACAAGGACCAAGAAGACGCATAACAGTGCGAGTAAGATGACGAAACGGGAAAAATAAAATGTCGAAGAAGACGCAGAAGAAGAAGACACACAGAATAGCAAGTAGACGTAGAATGTCAAAGTTGCATCGTTGCTCAGCACGCTTTCGGGACACCCGTTGTCCTTTTTTAGGTGGCTCTGGCGTGGAGTGTCTGTGTCTTCACATCTTGGCCTCCAAATCGAGCTTTCGCGGAACGCCAAAGGGGACAAACAGTTCAAAACTCCGCAGAATAACCTGATTTCGTCTCCAAATGGCGCTCATCTGGAGTATGGAACGTCCTAACCGTTTTTGTCTCAACGCAAGCCCTGCCGGCATTTGCCTGCTTAGCTTTTGGGTGTCTTGGCTTCTTGTTCTGTTCTGCTCTTGCTTTTGTTCCCCTCTCGGTTTGTTGGTTTCTTGGTTTCTTGGTTTTTGGCTTCTTGTTGTTTTGGCTTCTTGGTTTCTTGGCTTCCTCGCTTACTTAACTTTCTGGCTTATTTCGGCATCGCGCGACTTTCCATGATCGCCCCTTTTTCGCGGAGGTCATCCAAGCTTAATCACTGTATACAAAGCCGCTGCCATGTGTAAGGGAAGGTTATGCAGATCATTTTGTTTGCAAGTGGGGGGGGTGGGGGGGCTGCCCCGCCCCAACCCCCACGGGTTTGTGTTTATGGCCATCCATGCTTCATTTTCTGTTTTGTCGCCAGCTTACCATCATTTTCCAGTTTTTTGGTTACAGACATCATTTGTCCATTTTACTGGTGTGTCATCATCGGTCTCATCATTTTGCAACATGTTTCCAACACGTCAGCTTTCTTCACTATGTTCCACCACTGTCCAGAATTCGGCACCATGCTCATCATCATTTTCAAAATGCCCCTTCATTTTCCAGTATTGCCAGAAGTGCTACTGTTTCCATTACGTCGCGGACATTCTCATAATCTGTCATCATTTCTAAGTGTTTCCATGTTGCATCATGGTACATTGTTCCACCCCGTTTCATGCGAATCTATGGTTGATAATCGCTATTCTTGGTTTTGCAGTCAATGCCAACATTCGCCACCATTGTTTGAGAATCGCGCTCTCGCGTGGTGCATCCTTCTATTCCGGCCCTCACGGCTGAAAAGAAACGAAAAGTATGAAGCAAAAGACCTCCACCCAATGGGAGGCGGCATGTGATCTGCTCCAGGCAGAATGCAAGAGAAGCTCAGGTCGATGGCCTGGAATTTGCTTTTCAAGAGGTGGATCAAGAGCCCGAAGCCTGGGATGCCTTTGGATACCAACCACAAACTCCAGGTGCCCTGCCGTTCTCCGCTGTTCAGGTGGTCAGGCGTGTATGTGGCCCAACCCAAGTCCGATCCGAACAACATGTTCAGGGAAAGTGCCGAAGGCTTACTTAGCTGGCTTACTTCTTATGCCAGCTTCCACTTTGACTGTCAGTTATTTTCTCGTGGAATGGACGGCGCCTGAGATCACCTTGGGCCACATCACGCAAGAGCCCGCAGCTCGCCTCAGCACAATGAGCACGAGCCTCCCCACCTTCTTGAATGGTACATAGCCCTCTTTCACGGCAGGCTGAAATAGCGTCTATCCTCCGAGAGCTGTTGCAGGCGCCAACCCCTGAAAGAGCGAAGGCTGTCAAGACAAACTGGAGAGCATGACACGCAGGATTACCGTGGGGACAGCTATGGTCTCATCTCTAAGAACTGCTGCCACTTTGCCGATGACTTCGCTCGGACCGTGTGTGTGTGTGTGTCTTGCATGCATCTTGCGGCCTGAAAATCCAGAGCCTTCTCCTTGCAGGAGGCTGGGTTTGGGTGGCATCCCAGGCCTTCAGAAGCTGCTTTTGCCATATTAAGATTATAGTGTACAATACTAAACTGAACTATTCTAGACTATGTACGAAAGACCTTTATGTAATATGAGTCAGAATGATGCTCGCCTAGTTTAGGCTATGGGCAGCACTAGCCCCATGTGTGGCTACACAAGAACAAGCCCTCTCCTCACATATTACGTAAAGGTCCTTGCCACTCTAGATTCTATTGTACCAGAATAGACTAGACTTTACCACATTGCTGCAGCAGACGTCCACTGTGACGGTATGCGTTGCCCGGGAGCAGGCTGGGTGTCCTTGAGGTGGGCACGCGGACTTGTTGGAGTGAAGGCCGGGATGCTCTGTCAGAATCTGTTAGAACAACTCTGTGACCATGTGGAGAGAGATTTCTTGCCCGGGATACAAGTCAAGAAGTCCTAAGCTTTGCCTCTTAGCCTTAGGTCTCTGGTTGGCGACTACCCTGGTGCACATACATACGGACGTATTGACGGGTCCCGGGTAGCTCCCTTGCTCAGAGCAGGATGCTCTTGATTGGCTGTTCGATGATGACGAGGACTTTGGCTGAAGGCCCGCCTAGGGATGAACCACGAAGCTTATACCAAGGGGATGCTGTTTATGAACCCGTTGTCTTTTGTGTTTGGCCAACGCCAAATTAAGCCAGCCGCAGACGCTGCATGCCCATGGCGTGTGGGGCGTCATCTTATGTTATCAGTCCTCAAGAAAACCCTGGTGTATCTTGTGGGAAACGGGGTTTAGGATTTAGGTGTTGGGGTATTGTTTGGGTCGTTGACTACACGTGCTAATGCATTGCGTGCACAGTGCTCCTACATGTAAATACACACAGATATACGGAAGGTACCACCTATATCTCTGCGACATCTCTCCGGAACAAGCAAACGGACGGACGAACGAACGGACGGAGGAACGAACAAACGAATGAAAATAGTGAACAAATGAACGAAAGGATGGATCGGTAAGGTGGCAGCTAGTGATTTGAACCAATTTGAAAAGTTATCTGCTTGCGTAACCGATGGATCAACGCAATCGTTTATTCATCAGCCAGCCAGTAAAATTTCCGGATGATGCAGATAGTAAGTACTGATTGTTGAATGATTTCGCGACTTGATTGAATAGTTCGTTTCATCAGGCTCGAGCAAAATGAAAGTATTCATTCGAGCAAGAAATACTTCATCAACCACTCCGTTGGTGAAGCATTAATGGGCTAGCATAATTACGTGAAAAACCTCTCCATTGATTAATGGATGGTGCACTGATTGACTGGTTGGGTTGAGGACCGGCTACACCCCCAACTGCCGAGCATCGCTCTTAGCTGGCTGACAGCTTGACCTCTCGCAGTCCGTGCAATGTAGAAGGTCTGCAAATGTTTCCAGCTTCAAGCCAAGGCAATACGTCTCTGAATGCCTCGCTTCTCTCTGTCATGGTACTGGACACTTGCGGGACCTTCTCTCTACCAGCGCGGCTAGCACCAGCGGGTGATTCCGATGGAAGCGACCTGCTTCTGAGTGAGCATGTCAGCTCTGCAGGAGGCATGCACAGGCTCTGCTGGTGCGGCATGCCCCCTTGTGAGAAGGCTACGCACTTCAACGTCGATGCCGGGCATCTGCTACTTCTAGGTCCGAGCCCATTGCAGCAGCAGATGACTTGTGTCAGCGGGCAGAGTTGCATCGTGCAACTCAGCTCTTCCACAATGACGGCGATGGAGACGTCCATGCATACAAGCGTGTATCTATATGATGCGTGCCCTGCGACCACACTGGTGAACGCAGCTGCTGCAATTGCAGGTCCGCTGCAGCAGTCAGCTCCTGTGTTGCTGACAGCTGCAGGTGGAGTATATCGGATGTGCTGGTGCAGCGCATTGCATGGAAATGTATGTGCTCCGAGTGATTACATCGTGGATGCTGGACAATTGTTACTGATCGGACCATCGCCTCATTCGCAAACTCGAACTTGCATTGGCGGCCTTGCTTGCCGCTTCCATGACTTCGATGGGCTCTACCTGCAACCTGAGGATCGACTGCTGCTACTCGACACTTGTGGTCAGAGCTCTTACATCGGTGCAGCGGCCTTCCTCCATCCTCCAGGATCGCAGTCAACACATGTGGACTGGCAAGTCCGGTTGAGGGCTTTGGAGACTCAGTTTGGAGCAGTGCAAACTCGGACATGTTCATTTCCGCGGCTGGGGGCATTTATCGAATATGTTGGTGCACTGGTGGAAGCTTGGCATCAAATGCCCCTTGTCACATTCCGGACTCCTTTGACACGGACCTGGGCTTTTTAATGGTGATCGGACCATCCCCCCTGCAACAGTATAGGACCTGTGTCGCAGGCCAGCCTTGCAGGCTCAGCCCTTTGCTTGGTCATTTCCCGGCTCTAGGAGACTACGTGGACTCGATTGCCATACTTGAGACCTGCGCAGTGGCGATGAGCCCAGGGCTTCGGGCATTGAGTCCAGGCGGCGTCAATGCATCGCAGTCCCCTTTAAGCGGGAAGAGCAGTCTGGTTGCCTGGGACCTGGTCGAGAATGCTTCGGAAGTGCCGCGGCTCCAAGAAGGCGCTCTGTACCGTCTCTGCTGGTGCCTGGATGCACAAGGTTGCAGCCGTGTTGAGGACTACCGAGCAGATGTTGGTGGCCTGTTGGTGGTTGGTCCAAGTCCACTGCTTCAGCTTCGAACTTGCATCAGTGGACACTCATGTGCTTTCGAGGGTGTGACGGGACTCGGTCTTTCCTATTCATACTACATCTCCCGCATTCGGCTTTACCAGGACGGTGCGACATCTCACGACATTCGCGTCTGGGAACTCTACCACTCGGAGTCTCCGAACGGTCCCTGGATCAAGGCCTTCAACGGAGCTGCAGCACCCGGTGTGGGTGAGCAGGAGTTTGAGGGCGACCAGCCTCTACTGGCGCTTGGTCGTGCTGCAGACCTACTCGGGCCAGGAGCCCCCACTACGTGAAGTCCAATTCGTGGCGGAGGGAAAGGTCGTACGGCTAAGCTCCAGCCAGGTCGTCTCAGCTTCGGGACTTGTCCAGCTACCCCGTGAGCAAGCTGGTCGATGGCAAGCTCGAGGACGACTCGCGTGCACTTCGAGCCGCTCGGGCCACAGCCTGGGATCAGGTGGAGCCGTGGCGAGCAGGCCTGGCATGCAGTTTGCCAGGTTTGGCGAAGGAGGTGGAGAAGGCCTGGAAGCAGGCGGTGGCCTGGCGCAAGCAGCAGGAGAAGGAGAGGCAACGGGCCGAGCAGCCTCGAAAGCGTTGAAGCGGACGAAAAGCGGAGGAACTGAGTCAAGTTCTTTGTAGTTGTCTTTCACAGCAGCCACACTTTGGGGCCAAGCTGCGATGTAAAGAGTGAATGATGCCAATAAATCTTTGGACTGGGATCCTTCCTTTCACAGCTTATGTTTGATTTAGCTGTTTCCTAATTTTCCTAGCCGTGTTGTGAACGTCTGCAGGCCTTACCGTGCATGAAGCAGGCAAGCATGGATCCCATCACGTCCCGCGCCACATTCTAAGGCTTGTACTTCGAGTCGTAAAGTGGCTGTAGGCTGCAGTCGTACAGTGGATGTAGGCTGCAGGGTTGCCAAGGGTCTGCACTAAGGACTCAGATGTGCTTTGGCGTTTATCACTATGAGGTCCACGGTTAGGGTTTCAACGTTGGGGTTGCAAGGGTTACAGCGTTCAGAGAATCATGTGACAAGTTGGACCTGTACAGCAGAAAAAGCCATCTGAAGCTGTAGGATTGTTCGGATGAGCAAGACATGTTGGTGTTTTGCTACCGGCATTCAAGTGCCTTTGGTCATCATCAGACACATGCGCCTTGGCTGGACTAATTCGGGGAAGATATCTCACTTGTGGATCAACATCTATCGAGTGTGCCAGGCACAGTGTAGCCGAATTGACAGGCATCGCTTGGTCTCTGCAGGAGCATATAGACATCCTTTCAGCCACCATACAGAGGCTGCACAAGAACGTCACAAGAACGCGACAGGGAGACATGGGGACATGATCCGGATGGAGCAGCTTTCCGCTCCCCAAGGAACTGCAGTATCCGCTGTGACTCACCCGATGATACTCTTATATCTAAGCATACAGACCCCGGCCGCATGAAAGAAATGGGTGGAGAACCCTGCCGGCCTCAAATGTGCCTCGGCCGTTTAAGGAGGGACGTTGTCGGCAGCTGAGTCCTTGCAGCCAGTGTCCAGGCACGTTGGAGGCCGAGGACTCGAGCGACTCTAGGATGCCCAATGCTGAGATTCCAAAGGGCTGGTGGTGAGACACCGCTGAAGATCCTTCTTGAATGCCTTCCCGAGGCAACAGCCGACGGCTGAGGATGCCTCCAACAGCGAGGCTCGCAAGAAAGTGACTGTGCCCGTGGCAGGGTGAGTTGAGGCACCATGGACCATGGCATGCCGGGAGGTCTTGGCTCGACATGAGGCCGTGCTTCTACTCCAGGCAGCAAGGCAACTGCTCGAGGACGAGGACTACCGGTTTGGGGCGCCTGGGCTTCTGAGAAGGGGGCGGTTTTGGGCTCCTTCTGCCCTTCAGGAGCTGCAGGAGAATTTGGCAGGCCTCGGCCTTTCTTTGGAGGAGGCGCAAGCAGAAAGTTTTGTTTCCAGGCACCGACGATCTTTGTGGCGGGGCCGGGCGAGCCCAGCCTTCTGCGGGCAGCGACGTGACTTCGAAGGTTCGCGTGTTCTTGGCACAGAGGTCCTGGCTGGCTGGCGGCCACCCTGGCTGGAGCAGGCAGGGCACGCGGCGGCATTGCGCTTCATGGCGCCTCGCGGTCGCCTCACATCGGCTCGCTCTCTTCTGGAGGGTGTCAAGGGCATGGACTTCAATGAGAACATGCTGCACGACTCGGCCACCCCGGTTCAGCACTGGGTGTGGACCCTCAGCATCTTTCTTTCACCTGTGCTCCTTGCGGAGAAGCTTCCTGCAGGCCGCAGCACTGGGTGAGATCATCCACGAGCTCTGGCAGTGTGCCAGGGAGGCAGCCGGGCGTGCTCTGATCCACCATGCCTTACAGCAATTGCTCAAAGATTGCAAGTGGAGGCAGCCGTGTCAGGTGGACCTTGCTTTAGGCAATGCTCAAGCAATGTGGAGGCTGGCATCGTCCTCGAAGCTGCTGACCGCCAGCCATGCTTTGCTGTCGCTCGGGGCTGAAGGGGATGAGAAACGGGTCGCGATCCTTTCAAAGACGTTGTGGACCTCGCACCCAAAAGCAGCGATCCCCCTTTGCCCGATTCTGCTCGGCGGTCCATCCTCTTATCGGCGGTGCATCCTCTTATGCTAGAGGAAAAAGTTGACAACTCGTTTTTGCGGGATCCTTTTCCAGAATCCGATTAGGCTTCACCCACCAGGAAGCAAGCCATCCTCGGTGAAACAACCAGCTTGCATCGCGAAAGCTCCGGCTGATCCACTTCCAGTGCAGGTTTGAGAGGGCGAGTGGAGACGTAAGTTCGCGATACCGTTACGAATCGTGATGGTTGTACGGCTTTTTGGCGAAGCACTTTCAGGATCCTTGGCCAAGAGTCACGAGCCAGCAACCAGTCAGCCAACCAACCGACGACGGCAGTACGCACACAGAAGCAGGACAACCAGCCAAAGCTGTGCGTGCAGCCGTGGTTTGTTGCTGATAGCGTGTCTGGAGTCGAAATCACGATGTTTTTCTTGCTGTGGCTTTGTTATCGAAACATCACGGCTTTTGAAAGCATGCTGGCTGCCGCCACTGTGGTTTGCGGGAACTGCGGATTGTTGGAACCCTACCTACGTTCGTGCACGTGGTTAGCTGCCGGAAGTGTGCCCATAGCCGTGCTCGGCAGTTTTGAGGAATCAGTGAAGGTGTGCACAGCCGATCGTTGCCATGGGTTCCTTGTTGACACAGAGCCGAGTGTGACTGTCGTAGCTGCCTGGTCTGCCCAAAGCCTCGCTACCGTTGGTGGGTGAGTCTTCCGAGGTCCTTCCAAGCACTGCTGCACGGGATGTGATCGAAAAGCTGGTGAGGTGGGGCTGTGCATTGCCACCTGTGCTGGGCCTTGTCGAGCTTGACCACAGGCTTGGCGGGGGCGACGTGCTGGAGACGCAAGGCCGTCACGAACCGCAGGTTCCCCGTGTCTTGAGAAGCCCCCCGTCCCCGCGCTTTTCAAGAGGCCCGCCGTCGAGATCGGCGGTGCCCTTCTGCAGGCGAGTGGCCTCGCGGCACTTCGCGAAGCCGTGCAAAGCCGCTCAGCTTGTAACCGAGGCTCATCCACTTGGCTGGGGCATCCAAGAGATTTGCAAGCGATTCTGTCGACGGCCATCAGCTCAGCTTTGGGCTCAAGGCTTCGAGGTCCACCTTGCACGAAGCGTCGCGAGGAAGCCCGAAATCTCCGAACATCGAAGATGCCAGGCACATCTTGCAGCCAGCCATGATGGTGTGAGAGTCTGTAGTTTCTGCTGAGCTGAGCGAGGGAGCGAACGTCGCAAGAGCTGGCGGGGCCCACGTGTGGTTTTCCTTCGTGTGACTTTATTGCTGCTTTTGGATTCCGAGGACAGTGCTGCTCCGGCTGCTTCCGACGAATTGCTGAGGCTCCCTCTAGGACTCTAGAAGTGGCGACTTGCACAAGTCTTTGTCGCGGTGCAGGAAGCAAGCTCTGATGGCAGTGCTTGGTGCAACTCCCGCCGTTGCGGTGTTTGCGCATGTCGGGGACCTGAGTTAAGCTTGTTAAGCCTGGCCTGAACCATGTCCACAATTCTCACTTATGCAGCGTACGGACGGAGGAGTTCTCCTGTGTCATTTGTAAAGCCGGGCTTGGTGCAGAGCCTTCCAAGCGAAGCCGAGGAGAAAGGAAAGCCAGAAGCCCAGCCGGAGCCAGAGCGGTCAGATGAGCCGGAGGCTGTCACGGAGGCGGGCTGCACTCGGCCCGACTTTGCCACTCAGCCGCCTTCCCTGGTTTAACAGGAGCCGATCCGACCGATCCCGGCATGTGCCGGGGAGTTTCAGGCGGCCTTGCCGTGCGGCCCTCAGAAGAGAGCTGAGCACCGGTGCCGGTGGTTTGTGTGCAATACTTGTGCAATTTGGATAGTTCCTATGCACTTACTGACGGCGGCACATCGGTTGATGTCGTCTCCGCCTGCAAAGCCTGCGTGGGCCTTGGGAGCTGCAGGTCTGTGGCTTCGGGAGGGAGCCTCCCTTCGGAGATCCGCTTCCTGCATCTCAGCGTGCTCCAGGCGATGGCGATTGGGTTTCGATGTCTGGGAGTTCAGTCGGGGTTTGGGGCCTCCGGGCTTTTAGGGTTTAGGGGCTTCTGGGTTTAGGGTTGTCGATTGAACTTGGGAACTTGGATTCAGGATTCAGGATTTGCGGCTCATTTGGCCCATTAATCGTGTGGCCGTAGAAATCGCCCGTCAGTTGCATGGATGTCTCGTTGCATTCCTCGATTGCGGCGGTGAGACCAGGGCAGACAGTGCGCTTGGTGGGCTGTGCCAGTTGCATTTTTGAGTTGTCCTTGACCTGGCTTCGAGTTTGCCCTGTGCAGGAGCGAAAAATGTGAGGAGTGACGATGCGTTCAGTATGAAAATGACTGAACCTGTTTGAGTGTGTTTGGACATTTTCAACCACCGAAAACGCAACCTTCAACAGCTCTGGAGCCCGGAGACTTGGAATCACCACTGCAGACTGCTGGCTCCTGGCCCTAGCTGTGATGCTCACATGAAAGAGGAGCCTCTCGCTGTGATGCTTCAGGTAGCCTTGTGAAGCCCTCCTCGGAACCTGGCTTCCTCTTGAAAATGGAATGTCAACGAGCAACGAGCTGCACGGGCACCCATTGGCATCCAGCGTGAATCTCATGACTGAGGAATGTGCTTTGGGCGGAGTTGGACGAAGGTTATAACACATGTTGCACAGTTTTGAAATCTGGCGAAGCAGGTTTGCAGGATTCATCCAGAACCTTGTCAAAAGCTTGCGAAATCCCTAAACGCGAGATGCACAACACCCTGTCCGCGGTTTGGGCGGAGGAAGATTGAGTTTTGAAGACCCTAGAACTCAATGCAAAATGAATTTTGAGTTGTTCCCGCCTCGCCCCTGCTTTTTCCATCCGCGAGGAGGTTACAGATTCGCACGGCGAAGCGCCCGCCTTGATCCTGGCAGCACGGGGCTCGGACAGCGCTTGTGAGGAGTGCGCGAGTCACAAAAAATGAGAGCAGAGCTTGACGCTCGAAGTTGACGGAAGATGTGAACGGGGCGGGCCCTGTGTGGTGAGCAGGTTATGAAGTTGCTGGGCCAGGCCAGGTGTGACGCTTGGAGCCCACACGATGCGTCACAGAGCCGGCGGGCAGCCACAGGACGAGATCTGGCAGAGATTTACTGCCCTGGACGCCTTCTGTGATGGTCTGCTGCTGGCAGCTCAGAGAGAGAGCCAGAAGCCAAAGAGTGCAGACAGAGCTTCCAATGCTCACTAGAAACAGAGGTCGCAGTGGGAGCCACCTTGGGTCTCAGAAGATTTGGAGGCCTTGTGAACGTGAAGTTCTGAAGCCCCCAAACTCGCTGACAGTGCAGGGCGAAGACCGCCCGTCTGCGCGGCAGATGAGCTTGGAGCGACTTGAAAGGGAGGAGGAGTCCACGGTCCAGGGCTGGGCCCCAGGCTCAGACCTTCGGGGCCAGAGCTCAGCAAGAGCTCTCACCACAGACAGCGGAGACAGCGGAGAGCTCCTAAAGGCCATGGCCTTGGATGGCTTCCTGTCCTTCCTGGCAAACCTGGCCGTGGCAGCGCGGGTCCAGCACGCTTTCGAGACTGAGGCGAGGACAGCACGCCTGAGACTTCCCGTAGACACACACACGGCATGCTCAGAGGAGTCAGAGGTATCTTTCTGATTCCTGTTTCGAAGTGGAGCATCAACCGCCAGCAGTTCGGACGTTAACGGCAGGTATGCACTCCGCACACGGTGGCAGCAGGCATACACCGCAGTGATCATCTTGCTCGTGTAGATGGCTGTAGCCTGGGTGCCAAGGCCAAGGGCGCGAAGGCGCTGATGCTGCGCCTCTCGGTAGCACGTGCCATCATTTAGCTCACAAGCTGCCGCTAGGCTTGATCGTCCAGCGGCAGCACACATCAGTCGTACTCGCATCAGCAGCATGGTATCAGTGTAGTAGCAGTAGCGGCAGGAGAAGGAGGAGTGGCAGGTCATAAATTAGGAGCTGGAATGAGAGGCAGTAGCAGGAGCAGTGGCCGTGGTAGCTTTGAGGTTGCGAAGAGGACAAGGAGCAGCCAGAATGCCAGAAAGTAGGAAGCAGTAGCTGCGGAGTGGAAGTCCAGAGTCTAGAAGTCCAAGTCGGAGTCGCACGGCCCCACGGCCCCTCAGAGATCCGAATCCAGGCCTTCAGGCCCATCTCTGGTCTCAGTGAGGAGCCCAGTTTGCAGGGATGTCTCAGCCTGCTGTTCCACCGTCAAGGCGCTATCTCTTTTCAGGTCGTGGTGCCCGTCGTGGTCGTTCCGGAAGTTTTGACCGACTGGCATTTGGAAGGTCGGCCTGTGAATCTGCACGAAAGCTTCCGGATGCGAATTGATTTTGAAGTCGTTGTTGCCTGTCAGTCTTTGGACCCCTGTTGCGGGCTTTCAAGATCTTCATGCTCTCCGAGAAGGCTTGGAGACGCCGTGGTGGCGGTCGTCCTCATATCTGTGTCCAGAATGTGGTGGTCGCAGGCTTGGCGAGCAGATTTTCGCGGAGCCAGCAGCGTGCCCTTCTCCGTGGAGGCCCGGGGGAGGGGATTGGCCGACGAGCCGACGCTTCTGTTTCGGCTAAAGAACCTGCCTTTCGGTTTTCAAGGCGAGCTCCCGCATTGTCTGAGACTATGGCCTGGCCTGGCAAGAGTCTGCCCGGCACATCTGTACAGCCTCGAAGCGGGTCATGCAGGAGCTTGCGAAAAAAACCCAAGGGATGCGTGTTGAGCAATGACACCTGCGGTTTCCCTGGGCGAAGCCGCTGCGTAGATGCGGTCAGGTGAAGCCGAAACCGTGATCCCATAGTGAGAGCACTCCACAACTGACCTCGGCGTTTGACACCTTTGGTCTAACGCCCACATGACTCGTTAGCCTTTGCGGAAATCTGACTGTCATGTCTCTGAATGGTGTGGTCATTTTAAGTGCTTCGCGTCGTCCGCCTCGGCCCGACTGTAATTGAAGCAGGTGCAGTGTTTTCGGAAAGCAACAGCTGAGGTCACGCGACATGTATGCCCCACAGCAGCAGCAGCAGCTGCTGCTGCAGCTGCTGCTGCTCATGACAAGTCTGTGGAATATATCACAAGCAAAGCTGTTGTTTTTACCGTACGCTGGTGATAGGGTCGATTTGAAGAATTCTGAGACTGAAGCTTGAAGTTCATGTTTGGAATCTGAGCGGGGCTGGTAACACAGCCAAAGGCGATGGCTTCGATCTTTTTTTTTGATTGCCTTGTTTTCGGGTTGGTAACACAGCATCCCATCGATTCTTTTTGGAATGTATTATTGCTTTCGGGGACGGCGCTTAATCCGACCTTTGTTGGAATGTATTGTCTTCGGGCTGGTAACACAGCCAAAAGGCATTACACTGTTTTCCATGTACTGTTTGCTGGTTGGTGACGCTGCCAAAAGCGATTGCCTGATTTGTCTGGAATGTATGCTGTTCGGCTTGGTAACACCCCCAAAGCGATTACCCCGATCTTGGTTGGCACGTATTGTTTCGGGTTGGCACACATGCGATTGCCCCAATCTTTTCTGGAATGTACTGTATTCTCGGGTTGGTAACATGCACAGCCAAGGGCGATTACATCGAGTTTTTGGAATGCACTGTTGTGAGTAAAAACACAGCTAACCCACTTAGCCCCGCTATGGGGGTTATAATCACTGAATCCGAAGGGGGTGTAACAGCCCAGCTACGCCACTTTCAACCCGTTATGGGGTTTGCAATTTCTAAACGCCAGGGTGACAAACACTGCTGACCCACTTCGCCCCGCTGTGGGGTTACTAAACCCTGGGCGACAGCAAAAACACCGCTAGCCCACCTTGGCTCCCTGCCTCAACTTCCAGAATGATTGCAGACCAAAGCTGGATAGGGCTGGAAGGAGAAGTTCGGCACCGGGGAGGCAACAAAAACATGACATGTGTGAGTGAAGATGGATAGCAGTCCAACAGCACTCGAAAACGCATTGTTTGCTCTGCCATGCTCTCTTTTTTTTGCCTTGCTGTTACTGGGGCAGTATTCCATGCTTGTGCAATCGCCGTGAACCGACCGCATCAACAATGCAGAGCCGTTGTACCTCCAGGCTAGCCGTGGGTGCAATGCGCCAGATTTGCCAAAAGGTTGCCTGTGCAGATGTTAGTTCTTCCAGTGGTTTCGTGTCCTCCTGTCCTTCTTGTTGTCCTTGCCGTCGTTGCTGTTGCTGCTGTTGTTGTTGTCGTCGTTGGACACATGTTCGATCGCGTTGGCATGGCAAGAACCCCAGCAGTGCCGCAGCCGAAGAGTTCAAGCCAAACCTGCCACCCCTTGCTGAAGTACAGGCCAGATACTGCTGGACGAATACCTGTCGATTTGCAAGAGAACTTCAGAAGGCATTTTGGTTGAGCTGTGAGTTGGCCAGCTGTTCGGCTAGTTGTTCTAGCAAGACCATGTCGGTCCGATGCTGTGACATGATGCTAACGGCAGGGCAACAGGTGTAGGAGTGAGGTGATGGAGTGGTCGTGTCTTGCCGCGCACGAGCGTTCCGCACCGTGGCCTGTGAAGTCGACAGTGCGACTCAGATCGTTAACATCAGCTCACCCAGCACGCGGAAAAAGCACTATACCAGGCACTCCATGCTGAGTGCAAAAATTTTAGTAAGACAAATATTCAACGGCAATTGGATTACCACCGGCTTGCTCTCCGATTTCGCTTGCTGCAGGCGAAAGCATGGAGATCCGGCCTCAGCAAACACAACATGCCTGGTTTCAATTTGACGTGAGTTTTCATGATATGAGGCTTCCTCGCGACCATGTTTGTGGTGGGTATGGCATGGCATGATACTCAGTGATCTGCTTTGCTCAGCTGATCATCAGCCTGTCCAGTTGCGTTGACTGGAAGACAAGTGTTTGCACGTTCCCTCTGTATGGCTCGAGCTGATATCGCCGTGAAGCTGCCATGGCGCTGCCAGCCAGGCTTTCGGAGGCCTTGCGTGCTGCGGGGGCGCTTTGCCTCCTCAGTATCTTTCTGCAGTCCCGTCCCCAGTATGTTTGCCAAGGCATCACCGTTTCCGATCAAGTCAGAACATGTCGTGCACGGTGTGCTGAGGCGCCTGACAAGCGAGCCAGACCCGCGAGACGTGCTGACGTGGGCATCGACAACAGTGCCGGACACCACGCGTCGAATCATCGATCTTGTTGTCAAAGTGCCCGGCCGCCTACACATATCTCTGTCTGCTGAGATTGACCTTCATGGTTTGGACGGCAAGGGGGCCCACAAGGCTGTACAACACTTGAAAAACGAGCTTGCAGAGGAGTTCTTCCACCAGCCTGGCGTTCAGCACCTATGGGATGAGGTGAAGGATGTGGCACCGAGCTCTCAAAAAAGACGGAGATTCCATTGATACCTGGGCATGGTGATGAAGCATAGCCGGCCTGCCAAGATCAGGCGGAAGTCTTTGCAATTTGGTAAGCAAAGCAGATCCTGCAGCCACAACAGCCGGAATGTCGGATGGCAGTGGTCGTGAGATATGATGAGTATGCAGCCAAGAGTTGTGCTTCGTGCAGAAACATGTGCGTGTGCTGTGCAAGTGCGCAGGTGCGGTTTGTGTTGTGTTGTTCAGTGCAGCTGCAACGCTCAGGAAGCTTTATTCGTGAAGTAGCAGGCGCGTGGTTTCACCACGTGGCTGCTGTAGTACATTGTTATATACATAGATCATAGACAACCTCGTGGGTCATCCGACCTTGTGACACCTGGTCTCGCTGACTTTGCCAGGGCCGCCCGGAGACGTCATCAAGGCAAGCCGAGCCTCAGTGCATTGAGCAGTTTCATGGTGATTTCATCGGATTGCCGCCAGGCTGCTATCCTTCGCAGTTGGCAGCTGCCCGGGTCTGCTGCCTTGCCGGCAGCAGAAAGTGGACGACTTGAGCGTCGGAGCGTGGGCCATGGCCTTATTTGTTCTCCGGTGGGGGGTTGTTAGCTGTTAACCCCACAGGCTCCCGTGAGCCTCCCCGACCCAGAGATTACAGTAAGCCCGGAAGTGCCCAACCCCACACACTACCCAAGCTCCAAGACCACCGTGAGCCTTACAGGAGTGCTCAACCGCAGAAACTACCCTGAGACACCGGAGTGCTACCGTGACAGTGACTAGCGTGAGACTTGGAGTGCTTAACCCCGGAGACTACCTGCAGACTCAGTCAGTCAGTCAGTCAGTCATACGCCGCGTGGCGCGTGGACAGATATGGCTTGACGCACCGTTCGATACATCTGGAACACCAAAACGGCGTAATGCATCGAGAAGGCTGTCAATGTTTACGCTGTCGAAAGCTTTTTTCCAGTCGAGTGCTAAGAAGCGTATTTGACCATTCCGCTGTGCGCAGGCCTGCTCAATCCTTCGCACAGCCACGAGAATTGCATCTTCGGTACAACGTTGCTTTCGAAAACCAAACTGAGACTTCCACGGCCTGCCGTCCTCGCCAGCATCCTAAAAATGCTCCTTTATCAGCGATGCGAATAATTTGTAAGTGCTCCGAAGACATATGGGGCGGTAATTGTTGGCATCAGCAGGGTCGCCCTCTTTGAACATCATGGCAACTGAAGCTGTCGACCAATCATTAGGAATAGTTCTGTTTCGCCAACAATACAAGATCGAGAAGCCATTGCAAATTGGAATCCGGTTCCGTCGCCAGAGCTTTGAAGATTGTAAGAGGAATGTCTCCATCCCATCCTTCGTGGCTTTTCCATTCGACATCTTTCGGATAACCTTTCGAAGCTGCGCAAAACTAAAAACATCCGATGTCACTGGCAGGGAAGGACCTAGCAAGAGCACCAATACCAACGGTCAAGGTAGTTGGTCGAACTTTCCACTTAATTCGCTCCAAGTGGTGCACGAGGGTTTCCGCCCTTAGCCATCTTCATTTCGTAATCGTCATTGTTTCGCATGACGTCCGCAACGAAGTTTCTTCAATGATTTCCGATCCCCAGAAGATGCCAAACATTCTACCCACTTGGACCGATAATGGTTGGCAGACTTCTTAACTTCGGCCCTCAAACGCTTCTTGGAATCCCACTGACCGCGTCAACGAGCTTCACGTCTCTGTTGCAGGAGTTGTAGCGTTCCCAGGCTGATCCAAGGTTTGTTTGCACACAAAGGCAAGCAAGGTACATGTTGCTTGACTGCTAGGTTGACACAAGAGCAAGCTTTATTCCAGAAGTCGTTCTTGTCCAAGAATTCGACGCCGGACATCCGTTCAGTGATACTCTCGCAGACTGCACGGCGAGCGCACGGGATTTGCGAAGCCGCCCAGTCTCTTGTTGAGATTTTCCCCGGCAAGCTCCATCCAGACCAAGATTCGTAAGAAGCGATGCTGTGACCGGGAAGTGACTGGAGCAAAGCGATCACTGCGCACATATTGCACATCATTCAGATTGTATCATGGTACCAACTGCAAGTCCTGGATTGGAAAGGATCCAGGGCAAATTGGGGAGAGAGGTGGGGTTCCAGGTGCGGACCAACGATGTGGTTTTCACCCGGCCGCTTTTGGCCGATGCGAGCATTGAAGTCACCAAGTACAAATTTCGGATCATTTGCAGACGTGCTTGACATGGTTTGGTGGAGCTTTTCGTAAAAGTCCCATTTACAGACTAACGTGAGAATATCTGGAGTGGTTGGCGCCAAATACTACCTTGAGACTCCTACATACCTTGGAGTGCCCAACCGCAGAGCCTACCCTGTAACCCCAGAGACCGTCGTGAGACTATCTGGACAGACTACCGCGAGACTGCCCAAACTCGGAGACTATTCTGCAAGCCTACGGGCTACCTTGAGACTCCCTGGAGTGCCCAACCCCGGAGACTACCTTGGCATCGCATGGCCGATTCGTGGAAAATTTCGTTTTAGAGTAGATTAATATTCCTAGCATACCATATGACTATTTTGTCCATAGTAGAGTACTGTGCATTCTTTGGACTGTGTTGATGTTCCCCAAGCCCTAAACCCTCGGAGTAGGGTTGTTAGATTTTGAAAGCCAGCCTGACTCCCCGGACTGGCCAACTCAACCCAAGAGAGCCGTAAATTCTTCTTTAGGAATGTTCCATAGCATAGTATTTTGGTAGTATTATAGTACTATCATGGTATTGTTCTAGTCAGAATATCGGACTACTATGTACTGTTATAGTACTAGAGTACTAGAATGGTACCATTATAGTAGCATAATTTTGTGCGTCTTCGTTGCTCATGCTGGCAGGCATTGAACTAGCAATTATCTCGTGGTATTTTTAGAAATTGAAATCACACTCTGTTCTTCGGCACCACAGCAGTATTGCGTGCAAGAGCACTTTGCCAAAGCTTCTTCTGGCCTGTGGGTGGCAGAACTGAGACTCTATTGCCCGCTTTCAAACGTGGCTGCAAGAGTGCCGAGGCTGCGAGCAGCAACAAGGCGCCGCAGAACTTGGCAGTGTCTGCCTCGTTCACCAGTTCACCAGTCACCAACACTTACAGAGCACCGCATGATGTAACATATATGGATACAAGTTTTTCTTTTGCATGATCTGTTTTTGCTTATGTATTGGTTCATGACTGGTGAATTAGCATATGGATACAAGTTCTTCTTGTTGGTGGATGTACTGGTTCATGATTCGTAGGCCGCAGCATCATGGATGATATATACAGCGGTTAAATTAGAAGTGAACCATGCATCACAGCTTTTTACATTGATGTGATGTTTCCTGCACGTACCAGCGTTGCTTTGATCACGCAGCTCCTTGCAACTCTCATGTCATGAGATGCCACACAAAGCCTGGTATTTATCAATATACATCAGGTGCTTGCGACCTTCGAAAACCCCAAACAAAAAAGAAACTGGGACCCTTCATGTCATAGGGAGCACGAAACAAACATAACAAAGCCGCTAATCCTGGGAACTCTCATTTATGACCTTTGGACCCCTTATTTTTTCTGAATGGTCTGTCGTTGAGCTCTGCTACTCGTGTCAGCGTGAAATCCTGCTTCAAAGCTGAAGTCTCTACGGTGCATGAGCAACCCACGGCCGCAGGTGTGGCTAGGTCCCAGGCTGTATGGCCAAAGACCCACGTGGGCCGGGAACCCGGGCAGCGTCCACTTACAGAGCTTGTTGTACTATGCCCTGAGGCCAGAAAGGAGGCGGGCGCTTCAGATTTCGGTGGTGGACTTTTGGCTTCCAGTAGTCACCAGTCATGCCACCGCAGGAAGTCTTCCTCGGTCCACGCGTGAAAGGCATAAGGCCGAGGTGGGCTGGGAACTCAGTGCTCATGCTCACATGAACATTACTTGTAGCAGTACCAGCAAGAAGGCTCAAAGCCGGTAATTGGTGCAGAACCCTGACTCAAAGCCCGCAGAATCTGACAAAATGGTTCGATAGACAGACGTCCGAAACATTGACACGCACCCAGGCCCAGCGCAAAGGAGTCCTCAAAGCGGTTCGGCTGCAGAAAGAAGCGTCTAGGTGGTAGGGATTGCAACTTCAGGCGCCATACTTAAGCCGGATTTAAGGCGTGCCGTTAATGATTCAGAGCATTATGTTCGAAGCCTTTGAAAAAACGTGATTCCGATTTGAGCGCAGGGCTGTGGGTTGGGTTGGCAGCTATAGCACGAGTGGTTTGGGGTTCAGGGTCTACCTTAGGGTGTTAGGGCTAGAGTCCAGGATGTTGCAATGTTGACCTTCGACCTCCCGGCTTGTCCTTGAAAGTCTCAATCCCTCAGCCGCCCAAACACCAAATCTCCTAGACATTTCCTTAATCTTGATGCAGACATAGCGGCTCAACTTCAAAGCATCCGGGTGATTGCCGGTGCATTCGTGTAATTATGGGCTCCTGAATGTCTGTATGTGTCCAGCTGACACAAGCGATTTGGTTGCAAATCCGGAAGATGGGGTTGCCACATGGTTTCACCTACTATTGTTTTCAACAGGTCCCATGGTCCCGCCTCTCGAAGTATTTGTATGGGGGACGTGGCCAATTCCGCATACTCCATTTGTGCACTTGCCCGATAGTAATTGGTAACCCTTGTGCTTTGGGGGTTTTAGGGTTTGAAAGAGAGCGGGTATTGCAAGGTACAGAGTTGTCGTGTGCAGGACTTTGGACTCTTCGGGCTTGAGGGCTGTGTGTGCTTTCGGGTTTGGGTAAATATAGGCATTGCTCTAATCGTGACAGTGCGGTCAAACTTCTGAGGCTTCGAGCAATCGCCACCCATTGGAGATCGACACTGCCGCAACCTAAGGTCTTTTTCTTGGGACGGGGACGGCATGGCAAGAATAAGAAGAAGCAACACAAACATCGCATGATAACCTCTCGGCATCGAGGCATTGCCTCCTCCTGGCACGCAGATTCAGAGTGAAACCTGTCCTGGCCTCGGTGTGGTCCAAGATGCGAACTGCCACGGAGTTGCAGGACGCGCATCGGCTTGCAGGTGATTTGGCCTTGCCATGCAGCTTGCCGGAGCAAACGACGGGCACTGCCCGCCGCAATGGTGGTGCTTGAGTCACAAGGCTTTTGTTGTCATTGCACGCTTTCAGCATGCAAACAAGCTTCCGACGATGCGGGTCCCTCGTTAGGCATCGATGGACGAAGAGAAGATCAGGCCAATCTGCCTTTGTGTTCGCACAACGTCCTAGCTTCTGAAGGGCGCAATCGTTTGCGCTTAAATTCCATATTATGGATGCGGCTGCGCTGGGCGATAGTGGATACTTGGAAATGTCGCAAGATGTATGCAACCGGAGTGGGTACGACGGGTCTTTGCAACTGCAGAGAGGGTTGCCGGTTCACAAATGGGGAGAGGGGTTCGAGTCTTGTCGTGGAACCTAAACTGCCTAAACCGCGCCGTCAAGTCGTCCACAGAAGGTCTTTCTAGCAGCTAGCATTATTTGGACACACCAGGTTGAGCAAGTTCCCAAAAATGTTCTGGCACCATCGCCAGTGCACCGTACTCTTGCTTGGGCCTTCTCGCCCTGCCAGGTTGCAAGGCGATCAGGAAGCTGCCAAATCCGAAATCCCAGCAAAGGCGGTTGGGAAGGAGTAGCATAATTTGAGCCCTTGCCTCCGGATGAAGTTCTGGCTGCACAGCCGTGGTATTTTCTTGCTTTCCTGCAATCAGTGTTACCTCATTGAGTTGAATACTACTATACACTTAGTTTCGGCCTTTTGAAGTTCTGGCTTGCACGGTACTCTGTGATTACAGCAAAGTCTGGAAGCTTGTTGGTGGTTTCACGGGCTGTCCATTGGTGTGGAACTGTATCATGTACAGATAATATGATGTGTGCTTGTATATATATTGTATATAAACATACACAATACATGCCTGCAAACACATACATACTTACACACATACGAGCTGCTGGGCAAGAAGTAGCTGTTTCTGTTCGTATTGCGCGCGCTGTGGCGAGCAGGCGGTAGGCCCGCAGGCATGCCCTCCCGAAGGGTGTCGACAAGCTGTGAGCACCGCAAGCCCTCGTCATACCTTTGGCATGACGTGGCATGTTCCCGCCAAGAAACTGTTAAGAAGCTTGACCAGTACATTGGGACCTCGGTAGCAAATGACCCTCCGAGGGCTTGCCACGTGACTTACTACTCGGCCACTCTTCAGTTCAGGGTTGTGCAGGTTGTCCTTCACTTCTAGTCGCTGCGAAGCAAAGACTGGAGAAGTACCGCAACGGAGAGGATTGATGCGGCGAGAGCTGCAACACATCGCCCTTACCCACAAGAGACGCCGTCAGCTCCTGCAGTCTTTTGATTCCTCGGTGGGGTCTGTTTGTACCCTCCGTACACGATTCTGTACTGTCTTCCACCCAGCCGGCACAGAATTACTATAAATCTTTTCCAAGCTGTTGTGCTGGGGAGCAGACAGAAGAGTTGCCAGGTGAACCGACCTGAGTCTATAAGCAGACAAGAAGTCGAAGATGCCGAGCCAAAGAGCTCCATCAATAGCCCACCAGAGCTGACGACATAGGCGTGGTTCGATAGTTCGCCTTTCAATCGCAGAACGGGATTCTAAACTACATCGGCAACCAGCACCTCACAGGTGCATACCCCGCGCGTTAAGGGGCATGCACCCTGGCAGATCTCGGAAGAGCAGAAGATGGCAGAAGGATCTTCTCAAGACGAGAGGGCGCCTCTAGCTCGAGGTTCAACACGAACACATGTGGGCTGAGCAAAATTACAGGTTGGAGCTGCTGGTCGTCAATACATGTCATTACATGTCTGCAAAAATATCCCAAAGCACAACGCCCAATATTTGTGTTGGACGATTTCGGCATGCAAGTGCTGCTCAAACATGTGTTCGTGCAGTTGTCGTTAACATGTTAAAAGTACAGAGCAGCAGCAAATTTTGGGGTCCTTTTCTCGCACTGTGCTTCATTTTCGCTGGATGTGCTTCCCTCGGAGCCTGATGCGGGCTGCCCGGATGCTGGGCCGCTTGTCCTCGTGGATGAGTCGGGTCCTTATCCTTGGGTGTAAGGCCCTGAAGCTGTACAACCAGACGTGTTTCTTAGCCTTTGCACTCGACCATCCTCCGCCTAAGCCTAAGCCCTCAGTTCCCCCATAGCCGTGCTCGGCAGTGTTGAGGAATCAGTGAAGGTGTGCACAGCCGATCGTTGCCATGGGTTCCTTGTTGACGCAGAGCCGAGTGTGACTGTTGTAGCTGCCTGGTCTGGCCGCCGTTTTTGTTTCCCAAAGCCTCGCTACCGTTGGTGGGTGAGTCAGTCGGCCGAGGTCCTTCCAAGCACTGCCGCACGGGATGTGACCGAAAGGCTGGTGAGGCGGGGCTGTGCATTGCTGCCTGTGCTAGGCTTTGTCGAGCTTGACGTCAGGCTTGGCGGGGGCGAGGTGCTGGAGACGCAAGGCCGTCACGAACCGCAGGTTCCCCGTATCTTGAGAAGCCCCCCCTGCTTTTCACGAGGCCCACCGTCGAGATCGGCGGTGCGCTTCTGCAGGCTTGCAGCACTTCGCGAAGCCGCCCGAAGCCGTGCAAAGCCGCTCAGCTTGTAACCGAGGCTCATCCACTTGGCTGGGGCATCCAAGAGATTTGCAAGCGGTTCTGTCGACGGCCATCAGCTCAGCTTTGGGCTCAAGGCTTCGAGGTCCACCTTGCGCCAAGCGTCGCGAGGAAGCCCGAAATCTCCGAACATCGAAGATGCCAGGCACATCTTGCAGCGAGCCATGATGGTGTGAGAGTCTGTAGTTTCTGCTGAGCTGGACGAGGGAGCGAACGTCGCAAGAGCTGGTGGGGCCCACGCGTGGTTTCTCTCCATGTGACTTTACTGATGCTTTGGGATTCCGAGGACAGTGCTGCTCCGGCTGCTTCCGACGAATTGCTGAGGCTCCCTCTAGGACTCTAGCAGTGGCGACTTGAACGATGTTTTTGTCGCGGTGCAGGAAGCAAGCTCTGATGGCAGTGCTTGGTGCAACTCCCGCCGTTGCGGTGTTTGCGCATGTCGGGGACCTGAGTTAAGCCTGGCCTGAACCATTTCCACAATTCTCACCATTTTAGCATACGGACGGAGGAGTTCTCCTGTGTCATTTGTAAAGCCGGGCTTGGTGCAGAGCCTTCCAAGCGAAGCCGAGGAGAAAGGAAAGCCAGAGGCCCAGCCGGAGCCAGAGCGGTCAAATCAGCCGGAGCAGCCGGAGGCTGTCACGGAGGCTGGCTGCACTCAGCCAGACTTTGCCACTCAGCCGCCTTTCCTGGTTCAAAAGGAACCGCTCCCACCGATCCCGGCATGTGCCGGGGAGTTTCAGGCGGCAAGGCCCCGTGCCGCCCTCAGAAGCAGAGAGCTGAGCACCGGGGCCGGTGCCGGTGGCTCGTGTGCAATACTTCTTGTGCAATCTTTGATTTCTTTGATCCGGTTCCTTCATCTCAGCGTGCTCCAGGCGACGGCGATTGGGTCCCGATTTCTGGGAGTTCAATCGGGATTTGGGGCCTTAGGGCTTTTAAGGGTTAGGGACTTTTGGGTTTAGGGTTCTCGATTGAACTTGGATTCAGGATTTGGGGTTCATGTGGCCCATTCATCGTGTGGCCGTAGAAATCGCCCATCAGTTGCATGGATGTCTCGTTGCATTTCTCGATGGGCTGTGCCAGTTGCATTTTGAGTTTTCCTTGACCGGGCTTCGCATCAGCCATGGGCAGGAGCGAAAACATGAGGAGTGACGATGCGTTCAGCATGAATGTTTTTGAGTTTGTTTGGGCATTCGTTTTTTTGCTCTACCGAAAAAATGCAACCATCTACATCTCTGGATCTCGGAGCCTGGCTGTGATGCTGACATGAAACAGGAGCCTCTCACCACGATGACAATGATTCAGGTGGCCTTGCGATGCACCCATGACAACAGAATCCCTCCTCGGAACCAGGCCAGTACCCTCTTGACCATGGAATATCAGCAAGCAACGAGCTGCTCGGGCACCTACGGCATCCAGCGTGAATCTCATGACTAAGGAAAGTGTTATGGGGAGTTGCTTGAAAGTTATAGCGATTCTTGCACAATTTCCCAAATCTGGCGAAGCAGGCTTGCAGGATGCATCCAGAACCCTGTCAAAAGCTTGCGAAATGCTAAACAAACGCGAGATTCTCCCGGCAGAGAAAGATTGAGTTATTAAGACAATGCAAGATAGTTTGGGGTTGTTCCCGCCTCGCCCTTGCTTTTTCCATTCGCGCAGGAGGTTACAGATTCGCACGGCGAAGCGCCCGCCTTGATCCTGGCAGCACGGGGCTCGGACAGTGCTTGTGAGGAGTGTGCGAGTCGCAAAAAACCAGAGCTTGTCGCTCAGAGACAGCCAGAAGCCAGAGAGTGCCACATAAGTAAAGTCTAGCCTCGAATGCCTAAGCATCTGTGCATCATTCATTCACTGCAATTCCAGACCACCGCCACCACCACCACCACCACCATCACCACCACCACCAAACAACAACACCACCACCACCACCACCACCAACCACCACCACCACCAACCACCACCACCAACAACCACCACCACCACCACCACCACCACCACCACCACCACCACCACCACCACCACCACCACCACCACCACCACCACCACCACCACCACCAAACAACAACAACCACAACACCAACACCAACACCAACCCTAACCCTGACGCTGGCGCTAACGCTAACGTTAACGTTAATGCTAACGCTAACGCTAACCACTGACCACCAACACCAACAGAAACACCAACACCAACACCAACACTAACGCTAACATTAACACTAGCACTAGCACTAGCACGAGCACGAGCACTAGCACTAGCACTAACACTAACACTAACACTAACAGCAACACCCACAACACCAAAAGCACCAACAACACCAACAACACCAACAGCACCAACAACAACACCACCAACACCACCAACAACACCAACAACAAGAACAACCACAAGAGCACCAACAACACCAACAACACCAACAACACCAACAGCACCAACAACACCAACAACGCCAACAACACCGACAACACCGACAACACCAACAACAACAAGAACAACCACAAGAGCAACAACAACACCACCAGCACCAACAACACCAACAACACCAGCAACACCAGCACCAACACTACCACCACCACCACCACCACCACCAACAACAACAACAACAACACCAGCAGCAACAACAACAACAACATTCCCGACGACGACGACGACGACAAGGGAAGGGGTGGGGGCAAATAGCAATAACAGCAGGAAAAGATGGGATCAGGCGGGGGAGGGAAGACCAGAAAATCCGATAAAATGAAGGGAAGTCGGGCCAGGGGTGGTAAATGAACGCAAAAAGCGGATGTTTCCAAGCTTTCGGACTGCAGGGAAGAGGATTAGGCGGAGGGTACTTGCGGTAACCCCCAAGACGCCTGGGTCTGTGGCCTCGGCGGCTTCCTGTGCTGATCTGGTGCTGCCACGCAGCGCTCCCCGAAAACCTACGGGACGTTTGGGAAAGCATCTCCTTGGCAACAGCTTCGGTGTAGAATGGCAACAGCCAGTATTACCATTGAAATAACAAGAGCTTCATGCAGCAGTAACAGGAGGCGCCCGCAAACGGGGTATGTATGTAGAGTGGAAAACCTTGAAGCAACTCCCAGACGTGTCATGTTGCCTTGCAGTGAGAAACCCAAGCGTTGCATGGTGTTCAAGGCTTTCGGTCTGTTTGCGCACACATACAGTTGGTTCGATGCTGGAGGGTTTGTCTTCCAGAGTCTGAAGTTTGAATCGCCAAACCAGGAACTAGCAAACCGGGAAGAGACAAACAGCGTTTCCATGCACCGCAGCTTGATGCAGCATGAGTGTCCGGGCGTGCTACGTTGACTGCTACGTTGACCGATAAACAGCGGCTCTTGGTTGGCTTGCAGCCCATCGTGCAGGATGAGATCTTGCCAGTGTTGTGCCCACTTTTGGACTTGCCGTGTGCAGCTTGGCTCGAAGCCGCCGTAATACTCCACACTGCACACATTCGTTCTCTGGTTTTCCAGTTTGCTTGTGCTGCTTTGCAAGCTTGCGTTTGCAGGCAGCGTGGTTGTACAAATTGCATTTTTCGACAAAACATGAAGATTGGAACCAAGATCTTGCGGGCTTCGGATGAACACATCTCGTCGACATGCGGAACAAGTCGCGGGCCGGGCAAGCTTGAAGGTAGATGCCATAGCCGCTATGAGCGTGACACTCTTGAGAACAGTGTGGAAGCAGGAAACAACGCTGAAGAACACCGAGGGTTTTTGGATGTGCTTGGCAGTTCGTTTGGCAATGCAAGGTCGAAAACATGACAAACTTCAGCTTTTTTCGAGAAAAAGCTGTGTGCAGAAGGATATGCAGGCCAGGGGTGATTTGGAAATGTTTCTCACCAAACACTGTAGAGGGATGCAGTAAGCTTGCAGCAAAGACAGGTGTCTGTTCTGAACAGGTACTTGGAGATGACCTTCTCGAGACGCTTCTGAGGCTTTCGATGCTTACAGTTCCGTGGCTGCATGCAGATCGACAGCTGCAAGTCCGTGTGGCCCTGTTACTCGTTGCGAAGCCTCCGCATACAATCCGTTAGCTGTCAGCTCAGGTGTCCTGAGTGAATCACCCCGGGCCTGGTACCCAGAAGTCGCTTCCCCAAGAGCAAGACATGACTTGCCTCCGCATCCCGTTGGGTCCGGCGGTGGTGTCTCCCAGGCAAATTGCCATCAGACAGTGGTCGAGGAAGTTGAAGTCAGTTTTGTTGGGAGAGCTTGATGGAGTCTCGCTTCAAAAGCACACGAAGGAGTTCTCACTCAGCTCTCCCACCTCGCTGGAGGCAGAGAGCAGACAGCAGGTGGAAGCAATGCAAACAGACCATGAATACGTCGAGATGGTTGAGCATGCTTCGCAGCAGTTTTGCAAGAGCTCAGCACCTCGAAAGTCAGTACAGCGAGTGAGTGTCCCCATGAGACTTCAGTTGGCGCTGCTGCTGTTGGGCTTGACCTGGGCGAAGGAGGGTGCAGACAGACATTGCATGCAACGGTGCCGTCTACATGAAAAACGCTGACTACTTGATGAATCCTTCATTTCAGTATCAGTGCTCACTGCAACAGGACTCTTACGTTGCATATGCTTTGAAATTAACAGGCGTTTTGAGCTTTGCAAGCCGCAAAGGCAACCGTTTTAGCCAACAAGCCTGCGAGAGTCTGCTTGGCTCTGGTTTCACCTCATTGGACGATGAAGTAGCTTGAGCGGTCATGTCCCTGCGCATCCATCGCAGTTCTGTGAGTATTCGGGAAGCTATATATACGTAGCTGGCTAACTTAGCTTCTGCACTCAGTGAACTCATCCCCAGAAATTCAAGCAATGCTGCCCAGCGAATTTTCAAGCTAGTGTGAAGTGGCTTTGTTTGTCAGATTGGAACGCTCTTTTGGCCCCATCTGTTTCATTTTTGAGGCTTGGAGCGCATGATTTTTCAGAGCGCCTTAGGAATATTGGCGAGTAGGTCTGGTTTCTTCTGGCGGGGGAAGGGGGTTCAGAAGCAGCAGAAGTCACCAGTACTTCACAGTACTTCATGCTCTTGAAATGCGGGAGGACTGTTCGGAGAATGATCTGGAGCATTGGCGCAGCCAGCTTCGGGACGCTGACTTGGTGGACTTGCCGCCCGGCACTATGGTCTTCCTTTAAATCGGGTGTGGCGTCTGCGTCAGAGTGTTTGAGTTTCAGGTTTCCGATCTTTAGTTCATCCGGTACTCCCAGCAATTCCTTTCATTCCTTCGGAAGGTTGGGACACCTTGAGCAGGGCCAGGATGATCTATGCGGCATGGATGCTGCCGTGGGACGGCTGAAGGTCATTTGGGAGCATTCTGTGGTCGGCTTCAACAAGGCACCAGGCGATGGAGTGATGAAGGTGGAGCTCCCCCAAGACCAAGGCACCTGCATTTTGTGCACCCAGCCTGGCAAGCAAGAGGCCTGTTCGCAAGCCGCCGGCATGACGGATTGCAAGGAGGTCTTGAAGGACGGGCTTTCGAAGTCCGGATTCCCGTGGAGTTGGGCTGGCGTCAAGTGCACCAGCTGCAAAGCCGCTCTGGTCACCGTTGCTGGAGGTGCGCAGGTGATTCTCGATGCCTCAGGGGAGGGTGAAGCTCAAGCTGCGGCACTGCTTAGTACTGCGGCAGTCCTGAAAGCAGCTGCAGCCGCATCTGGCAAGTCGCTCGGGGAAGCGGCGCTGAGGAATCGAGTGGCCATGGGTGCGTTGACGTCGCTGGCAATGGTGATGTCATTTGCGCTGAATAAAGTCGGTGTGCTTCCCATGTCGCCAGACGAGGCGCAACCGTGCTTTGTGGACTGGATGCTGGACAATTTGGAGATGGTCTTCCTGACTGCAGGCCAGGGTGTCCTTCCAGGGCTTGCCGCGCTGGTGGCTGACTGGAAGTGTTGCTCATCCGACCGCTACCGGAACAACTGTGGACGCAACCGCAAAGATAATGATCCTGAACCTCCAAGGACGACGACACCCGAGCCTTCGCAGACCGTGCTGCGTGTAAGTGAGGCCGTGAAAGCAGGAGAGGCCATGGCTCAGAACACGCTGAAAGAATTGGCGAACTTCCGGGCCACACGGGCCTTCGCTTCGCCTGATTGGAAGCAGATGGACAGGGTTCACTGGAAGGAGATCACGGATCAGAAGTATGGAGCCTTTTGTGCTAAGGATGCCGCCCCGAAGGTGGCAAGCACGGCCCAGCAGAAGAGAACTCAGCAGGAGAACGAGCTGGAGTGGCAGGTCTGTTGGTGTGCGGCGTTTTGCCAAACGTGGTTGGCCTCCAGCACTCCTCCCGGCTCTGTCAAAGCATGCTATGAAACACTAGAAAGACTCAACCTTTACGGGAAAATCGTGCAGTGTTCTGGTGCATGGTGGAAGGAGCTGCGCAAGCAACAAGGCCAGCCGATCGAGACAACGCATGAGCCAGCGATGTACAATGCGCATCCCTATGGCGGTTTCAAGATCCAAGCGCCTCCTGGGGTCAAGGTCTTGTTGAGTTTTGGAGGCCGTACGCAGAACTTTTACGACGGACCCTCAGCGAGCGACATTGGACTGGAACGTGCCAGGCGCTTGAAAGCGCTGCTCACGCAGAAGTACGATCCCGTGAACTTGGACCCAAACTTCGTGTACATTGATGCCGACGCACTGAACAACATTAACATTGATGGCAGGTATACGAACGCGAACGGCAGGACGCTCAACGTGTACTGGGAGCAGTACTACAAGAATGCGATGCACAACGCTCGACTAATCATTTTCCTTGTGGACAAGGCCTGGCTTTTGAGTCGCAACTGTTTCGAGGAGCTTGCGTGGGCTCAAGGAAAGCAGTTGTGCACCAAGCACAACGAGTGGCCTTACAAGCTTGACATGTGCAACTATGAGGAGAAAGAGTTCGAGAGCACGCCCTTTGTGGATGCTCCAGCGCCACTTCGCATTGTTGCTTTCTTGGGTCAGGAGGCATTAGAACACAGGGGCGGTGCGGGCAAGGCTTGCCCCGAGCATTCCCTGCAAGGATATGGCGACACAAGTGGGCAGTGCATGTCCATGGCTGGCTTTGAAGAGATGCCGTGCGACGAGTTGAGTCATGATTATGACATTCAACTTCAGAATGTCATGGACCTTGTGGAGGCGAGGAAAGCTGAGTGGTTTTTTAATTCAAGAAGACTTACTACGATCATCTAGATCGGCAATATGGACTGCAGTGGAGCTGGGTCAGGGGCCGAGGATTGCCACAAGTGCGGATCCCATGCTCTTACCTTAGGACATTTAATTCGAATTTTCCACGAACTCCCGGCTGTCCACGTTTTGGCTTTGTCCACGTTAGATAGGCGCAGGCTGTGAAGCTTGCAATCCCTTTTGGTCGCCTGCTTGACCACGATGACGGAGTTTTCGTAGCTGCTTCCTCGCAGCTTCCTCCGCCTTATGACAGCATCGTGGCAAATCCGATGTGATGGAACCAAGTGAAGCTGACAGGTCAATGCTGATTTGTAAGCACAAGCATCGCGGCTGCTGCGTGTGGACATGACAGGTCCGAATATTTCGCACTCCCGGCAGCCGCCGCCTCATAGTCAAATCCTTGGCTCATCCGTGCGGTTTCAGATGCATGCCTGATGCTTTGCATTGCTTTGCCTCAATCTGCCTTTGCCCGCGACTCGAGACGCGAGGCCCATTGGATCAGCGTCGCGTCGTTTGACGGCTGGCTGCCAAGTGACGAGATGCTAAGCAGAGGCCAGAGCCAGTGCCAATGTCTCCTGCAATTCAGGGGACGCCGCAGGATGCAGGAGATCCAGCTGTTGTCTTTCAGTTTCTTTCGACGCGTTTGCGTGGTTCGTCTTGTCTTGGACAGCACGATCTCAAGCGCATGAAGGTTTCCTGCTTTTGCGGTGCTGTCTGGTACAGTGTCCTGAAAGATAGACTCCGAGGACTCTACACAAAGGGCTTCATGTTTAGCTGGCAAGAGCAGCCGTCCTTGCAAGGACATGGCTTCGCAGCTGTCGGCCCATGGAGGCTACAGGCCTGCTCACCAGCCGCGGACACTTGCGAAACCATGGGGGTAGTTGTCAAAATTATGGTCCATTTTTGAGAACCCTAAATATTAGGTGCCGTATTACAATAAGGACCCAAAAAGGGACCATAATTTTGACAACCACCCATGGGAGTTTCCCGAAGGTCACATTACCCCCCCCCCCCTCCCCCCCCGGCGCGGAATGCTTCGATCTGGTCGGGATCTTTGATACCAGCCTCACAGCACCCTCCCTGCTGGCTTCCTTCAGTTGGTCTGTGCCTTGAACAAGCAGGCTGGTTTGGGAAGTCGTTCCCACCGAAGTGAGCCTTACCCTACATTTTCGGCCCAGTTCTACATCCGGTAGCGAACGCATTTAAGTTTTGCCGTACCGAGTGCAGAACTCAGAGCCTTCACAGCATGGTCGACATTCTTCATGATGGTGCCCCTACAGTTTTGAGAAAGCAGTCCGAGGAACTGGAGAGCAGAGTATGAGTAGACAGTGCTGATGTCCCTTCGAGTGAAGAGCCATGAAGCGATCACTTGCAGAAGAGCTGGCTGTGGACGGGGGGCTAACCCAAGCGAAAGCCTCAAAGCCGAACAAGGAGGACGAACACAGTCAGCTTTCGCAGAGTACAACAAGTTCAAGCGGCAATTCACAAGAGATCTTGCAATCCCCTTCTCGAAGCACTTCATGCAAGCAAGAAGCTGAAGATGTTGATACAAACTGGAGAGGAACAGAAGCCGCTGCGCCAAATGATAATGCAGATATCGCGCTCGAGCCAACCAACTCTTGGAGCAGCAACGTCGGAGCGGAGACTGGGAAAGCCCCGGCATCGGAAATGCAGGAAGCGGAAGGCAGTGCCGGCATCCGGCTGCATGACGAGACTGTTAATGTGCTCCTGCAGAAGTTGTTGCGCAATGCAGATTTCCAGCAACTGGCAAAGCATTTGCTGGGGGCCGCGGACGGCGGGCTACCCCAAGCGAAAGTCTCAAAGCCGAAGACTGCAGAAGTCTGCGGTCAGGGTTCAGAAAATACAAGTAGCTCAAGTCGCGGTTCAGGCTCCGTTGCGTATGTGCCACGAGATTCAGATTCACTTGCTGAACGGGAGATCTGGCAATCCCCTTCTCAAAGCACCTCATGCAAGCAAGAAGCTGAAGATGCTACCAGAAACTGGAGAGGAACAGAAGCCGCAGCACCAAATGACCATGCAGATATCGCGCTCGAGCCTAACAACCCATCTGGGAAAAATGACGTTGGAGCGAAGAATGGGACAGCCCCGCCAATGCCGGGGATCCAGGAAGCGGAGGGAGCGGAAGGCTCTGCAGGCATCCGGGTGTATGAGGAGACTGTTGACTCACTCCTGCAGAAGCTGCGCAATGAGGAGTTCCAGCAAATCGCAAAGCAATTGCTGCACAAAAAAGGCATGAGGCTCGACAACATGCTGCCGAGAATGGCGGTGGAAATATTCCTGCAAAGGTACTCCAATTCTGAGCGTGCCGACCATTACTTCACGCACGAACAGACACGTCAAGGTGTTATTGCGACGCTGGTGACGCCGTCTTTCTTTGGTTCCAGTTTTCGGGGTCCTGCCATGTACACGCAGACTCAAGCCGAAATATCCGCCTGCCAGCTCTTCGTCACGGATAAATACGTCCTCGAGGCTGCTGAGTGGCTACCGCCTCCAATGGAGACCATTCGTAAGCGGGTTGCCCTCAGCAAACACCAGAAACAAGTGCTTCGTGAGAGGGGCTATGACACCACCGTGGTTCAGCGCGACCTGCTTAACTGTGTGTATGCAGGTTTTCGATCGCTCGGCTGCCGCAGCGCGATATTCGACAACAATGCTTGACTGCGACTTGAAGTCCTCTGCGCTTTCCAGTTTCACCGTTGGAGTCCGGTTGTCACGATTCGGGGGAGCTTCGTGGCGTGGATTTCGAAACCTCATGACAACGCAGTTTCGTGATGCCTGCTTCACACGCTCAGAATCAGCAGCTGGGAGTCGAGAAAAGGCTAGATGATCATGTCGGCAGGCCTCCGAAGCCAGAGCAATCTGCCAAGATGGTCGGGGACTCAGGCTGTCGGAGTTACCGAATACAGGCGGTGCTTCGTGCTCTAGCTTCAAAGGTCCACGACTGGAGCCACAGAGAGGCGGATGAGGAAGTGCTTGCTGTGCAGGAAGAAAATCCGGTGCGGCCAGAAGAATGAGCTAGTACGAGCCCAAACAACAGGATTGGAAATCGAGGGAGAAAGGGTTCGAGTAATTGTGGAACCATTTTCTGCATGTAAAATGCTGTCTTGGGAGGTTTGTCTGCAAGAGAGGCGATCGGGCATCTTGCGACATGTAGCAGGCGTGTTGTTTGCAGAGGGTAAGCAGCACTGTTTTCTCTTGCACGGCTTAGGTGATTTCGTCTCGAGCCAGATTGAAGCCCTCCGGAAGCATCGCAAGACAAAAGCAGACATCAGATGCCCCCAGCTCGCTGAAGCTGCGGACGTAATTGCGAGACTTTGATACTAAAGATAGGGTCACAGAGTGAGGAAAGTCAACAGGTAGTAACATCGGCTTTATAGACTAGATAAAGGCATCACGCATGTTGAGAAGAAGGAACGAAGCGGCTAAAACGGCGAGACATGCGACAGTAGATTTTCTGCTGCCGGGCACATTGCTCGAGGCTGCTTCGCCCTTGCTGCGAAACGCTCATGGCGTTGCTCCGGCGCCAGGGGCTACAAAGTCAGCCTCTCCAGCGTGCCAGCACCACAGTCACAGGGGCAAGAGGTTCTGTATTGCTCAGCCGAGCATGCACCCTCACACTGCCCAGCCCGACTGGCTTTCATGTGCCGGCCACTCAGCACAGACAGGCAATCGTGCTACAGCGCACTGGCACCGTGACACTGGCAGAGTCCGCCCCGGGCTTGACAGCACCGCCAGCACAACAACCGGCTGAGCCTTGGCGAAGTGCTGGGACAGTGAAGATACCGGAGATGGCTGGAACTGCTGCACCGACTCCAGCACCGGTTAAGTCGATCGACGCGCAGGCCGGGCCGGCGGGAGAGAGAGGGAGAGAGGGAGGGAGGGAGGGAGCATCTGTTGGCGGAGCTTTGCAAAGCTGAGAAAGGTTCAGAGCACCCACGTTGAAGTGCTAACAGCTAGAAGCAGCTTAACCTGGAGGCGACATGCGTGCGACGCATGCCGACGAAGGAGCAGTCTGGTATAGCCTTGTGCTACAGTGTGTAATAGGCATGTCGGGAAGGTGAGCGATGCATTCCCTCCCAGCCTCAGACTTTCCACCCTTTGGAGGAAGACTTGCCAGAGATGGGACGGCTCCTCTTTCAGTCCATGCTCGGACCTCTGGAGGCCCCTTGCAGCTTTCCGTGTTGAAGCCAGGCACTATTATGCAATTTAACCGCTAGCGTGAGAGCCGCCTCGCAGCCGCACCTGCAACATGTTGCCATGCCCGATCTGAAGTCACCTTTCAGTGCTCACTCTACTTCTGATGAGATTTTCGATCCTAGCGGGTCCGAGTGCATCAAGCCCCGGAGGAGGAGCAGCCACGCCAGCTTCGCCTGGTGATTGGGGGCCTGACGGGCTCCGGCAAAAGCACCATCTGCTGTATGCTTCGGCACCTGCTGGCAGGAGACGATGGGTTCACTCCATCCCTGTTCGAACAATGTGAGATGATCCATTTCCAAGTTTGCAAACGGGGGTGTGCCTGATAGCAATCGGCTCAAGAGTCACCCTCGCCGGCAGGAGTCTGGATCCAGGACGAGTTTGGCAGTCAGACAGCGCTCCTCAAAGCGATCCTCGGACTTGTCGAGTGGCAAAGAACACGGAAACCTTTGACCTTGGCCAGCCGCTGCGTCAGTGTAAGGTGTCGTGTGGTCTGGTGATGTGTGTTGTGGCAGCTTCGCGCATTTCCGAGGATAGCAGAAGCAGCGGCAGATGATGCCGTGCCCGTTCTAGTTGTGGACGAGACGCTGGGTGGCATCATCTCCTCTCTCGTTGAATTCGTGTGTATAGCCTGTAGCACCATGCCTGCGCAGCCCGGAACTTTCCACTCTCCGTCCCGGTCCCAACTGCTGAATTTGACGAAGGATGCAGCATCGGACCGGAATTGTCCAAGAAATGCAAAAAGGACGTCCAGGTGAGATGCACCTTATTCTCCAAACGGTTCCGTGCGAGCGAAAGCATGTTTGCGATTCTGTTGTGCAGGAGTTTGCCTTGTGATAGGTGACATCGTCTATGTGCAGATCAAGCATCCAGATGATGCGGTGGATCGCTTCTCTGCTCATGTAGAACCAAGCCTGTAGGCTTTGTAGGAGTTGTGCCTAATAGTTTTCCAAGATTGCCGGATTGGTTAGTCTTATGCTAGGTGTCGTTTTCGGATGTCCTGCCGAGAAGTGTGCCTCCTGTGCCAACTCCTCCTCCTCCTCCTCCTGCTGCTGCTGCTGCTGCTGCGTTGGCAATGAGGTTGGGAGAACACTTTGGATTGGTGCGCAAGCCGAATTGCTCGGCGTGGGTCTGGACATCGCGGACATCGCGCTCTCCTCGGGAAGCGTATCGGTTTGGGCAGCCTGCCTGCAGCTGTCCGAACAGGCACCCTGATGGCAGACCACCTGCGGCTGCGTTCCATACTGCAGCGGACTGCACACGGGTGAGGGTTCCGGAACAGGTTTCAGGAGTCGGCATTTACTGCTTTGTGGAGCTGCTACCAATTTCTGCTTCCTCTCGGATCCCGATAGTGCCGGGCTCGGCTGTTTGACCAGGGCTCTGGACGCGTACTGCTGGTCAGTCTTTGCCAGACAGAGTGGCCTTGTTGCGTGCCCAGTGCCAGGACAGCTCAAGCCGCGGAGCCCCTGAGCAAGGAGGACTTGGCACCGACACCCTTTTGGATTCGCGCAAGCTGAGTGCACGTTGAACTGCAGGAAGTCCGAAACTTTGCTGCCACACTACGTGTCAACATGGCGCAGACCTCCATCGCACAGGCGCTGTATTTGTAGAGTTTGCGACCCGTAGGCTGGTAAACAAGGGTAAACTGTCTGCGTGCTTTGCACTGCGGCTGCCGTGGCAGGTAACGAAGTTGCTACAGGATTTGCACGATGCCTGGCTTGAAGGAATATTGGAGTCTGGAGTGTTTGTGCATCCGAGTGTAGAAGATGTGCCGCTACCTCGCCGGCTGCGTGAGGGCAGGAACGAAGGTCTAGATGCACGGTGCCGTTCCGTGGCTGTCCCATGCCATGCTGTCCCTCCCAATCCCTCCTCACTCCTCTCATGAAAAGGCTGTCTTCGGGCTTCGGGCAGCGCCACTGCCAAAAATAGCGGGCAGATACGGCCAGCGTGCTAAGGAGCTGGGGCTCCTTGAGCCTCGCTGTCTGCAGAAGCACCGGCTGCTCCAGGCACAGCACGTCCGGGACCAAGAGTCGGCTGCCTCCGATGCCTGCAATGACGAACGAGACTGCCGAGTTCAGGCCGCCAACCTCGCAGAGTCGCAGTTGGCGGAGGCCTCTGCCACTGCTCCGTTGCTCCATTGTCTATGCTTGCTATTTGTGCCCCTCTGGAGCAGTGCAACTCGTCAACTGACGGGGCGATCAGTGGCCTTTGTTGCAGCATCGCGGGAGAAGACATGAGAGAGACAGACACTGTGGGGCCGGCTGCGGGAACTGCTGCAGGCATGGGGGGGGGGGGCGGGAATTAACAAGAACCAACACAAGCTGACAATCATCTCATCCAACGGCTAAATTATCAAAAGCAATAGTCTTAGCCTTCCGGCCGGCTTGTTGTCTTGGCCTCTTCCTTGATGCTGTCGGCTCCGTCTGCCTTTCTGGCTTCCATGTCTTTGCGGTGTCTGGCGCAAAACAGACAACATCCAACTAAAGCTCAGGCAGAAGCTCGCTATGTCGCAGCACACTTTCGATCTGACTTGTATATATATATATATATATATATATATATATATATACGTGATAAGTGGTTGCAAGTGGTTATGTCCGCCACACGGCTTGCTGTATTAAGTATGTCACCTTAAGAAGGTGATAAGTTGACTTACTTAAGTCTGGCATGTGTCCCTTTTCGCCATCATTTGTTTAGGACGGTTCAGTATCTGACGACGAAACACTTTCTAAGAGGGGGAACTAATCACGCTTACTTACCCGAAATGCAATGGACCCATCGTGTAAGTCGGCAAACCCAGATAACAAACATAGAACCATGCAGTTGCAACCTATTTGTAAGCTGCGCCCCAGATTGTTTAGCCGGGATATGCGACGTCTGCTGAGTCGGCTTGGCTGCCACTAAGTGAGCCGGGGTCGGGTCTAGCGCCTCTTGGTTTTTTAAACAGACTTGCGAGTAGCAGCTGTATTTTTCAGTGAACTTGTGCATGGAAGTTACATTTTCAATAAACTGAACGTGTGGACAGTCTCTTGTTCAGTAGACTTGCGTGTTTTACAATTCATTTTCCATCAACTTGCTTAACCGGGGTGACAGTATGAGCCGTGTGTCGTAAGTTGACTTACCGACTTCGTGCCAAGTGTCTTACATGCATCTCCATAAGAAAGCTAAGCAACTAAATCCTAAGCGTGCTAAGTCGGCATAGCCTATGTTGATTTTCCTGTTGCTAATTGCACACATCCATGGTCGCGGGGGATCTTGACTTGCTGAAGCTTGTGATCATCCTCGTCAGTTGTTCTTTGACCCCGACAACAGTCGTTGCTTCGTTTCCACACTTGCAGGCGGCACCAGCAGCGGAGATCAGCAGGCACAAGGGAAGACGAAGCATGACGTTATGCCGATGCTCGTTCTCCCAGATTCTGAAGAAAGGCATCGTGTAGGGGTAGGAAGAAAGCCAATGCACAACTGTGATGCGTGGGGAGTTTGACCACCCTGGCAAAAGCGGTGCTGGTCAAATTGGGAGACTTCAGGCAGAGCACCTTCGCAGTCGACGACGAGGGCGAGCTGGAGGCACAAGTACATCAACGAAGAGACTGTGAATTTGGCTGACGAGTAACTTGCTTCATGATCATGATTTTAGGTAGCAGTGGACTTGCTGGTGGTGTTCAGGGGGTGGTGCTGCTGCATCTCTGCTGCTGCTGCAACGACCACTACCACAATTTCAAAAGTTCGAAAGCAATACGACAATGACAACGACCACCAGCAGCACAGAGACGCTGCCGACGAAGGCTACTGCTACCACTGCCACCGCGAGTAGTATTGTATTGCTACTTCTAACACCACCGTCTCGACGACGAGCGTGTTTCGGCCTCTGCAGGCAACTGCTCCAGCTGCAGCCGAGACCGGTAGGTGCCGGTAGTGCCTGTGTTGGGGTTGGGCCCGTTGGGACTCAGCGGATTTCGGGAAAAGGGTCTGGGTGGTCGTCCGAATGTGAAGAAGCATCACCAGCTTCCGGATGAGAGGATGCATGTCAAGCTGGAAAGTTGCAGAGTCGGGCTCCCAAGCCTCCTACTGCACCTGGCGCGGCTTCCTCTTTGAAACTCCCGCACTCCTTGTGAGAGCGCAAGGTGATTTTTAGTTCGGTTTGTCCACACATTGCGGTCCACTTTATCGTGGTTTCTGAGTTGTTTTTTTGGGAAGTCCCGGAGCTCATCCCGCGTAGGAGTCTCCGAAGTGCTGGTTGCAAAAGAATAGGTTTGGAGTGCAATGTAGCCCCGAAATACGCTCGACACTACAAAGGGCCGCGATGTTTTTCTTCGTGACGGAGGGGGGAGGGAGGGAGAGGGGGGGGATTGGGTTCCGGTTTTCTGAAGGTCCCATCTGTCAGATCCAGCAATATGATCCCCTGGCTTGGAGGCAAAGCCCCTTGACCTTCGAGGATGACGAGGAGGAGGAGGCCTCGAATGTCCACTGGAGAGCAATTATTCAACAACTGCTACGTGGTAGTATCCGCTGGGTCTGCTAGTATATCACAACAGGCATGTTGGATCACACTATCTGAGGAGACACAACCGCATCCAGTCAAGACTGCACATCAGCAGAAGCAGTCCTACTCGGCGGTTTGTCATGAGACACCGCCAAAAACTTTGTAGCGCATCAATGATAGGGAACACTGGTCGCGGCAAAACCAAAAACCGGTTCGGGTTGTTTGTTGCACGGTTGTATCGTTGGTATGCCGTTCCGCGACATGTTCACATAAGGCCCTGATGAAGACTTTGCAATTACAATCTTGGTAGCTGCTAGCAGTACTGGCTTTACATAATGCATCATTATTCGTCCGTATACCCAGGCTCACATGTGGGACTGCCCGATGAACCTCAACAGTGTAAACCGGTATAATGCAACACGTACCAGTATATCAGGAACGCCGTGACATGAGAATTAGCAGGGTGACTGTATGCGAACTGTGTGGAGCAAGTCTGAGTCCGCCAGCGACCGAAGTCTTCTCTAGCACAATCAGAGCCTGTGGCTCCCAGAAGTTCAGGGTCGGGGGTCCTGGGGTCCTCAGGCTCATGAGTTTCCTCAGTGGGTTGCAGGATAGGATGTTACATGACGTTGGATCGCCTTCTATTTCTGCTGCATGGGAGCACGTTAACTATTGTTATTTCTATGTTCTTTGACGGCGCATGAATCGCATGCGGCCTTCTCATGGTTGGTCGTTCCCCCCTCGTTGTTCGTTGGCATCTCAACAAACCTCAAACGCTGCATAGCGGCATAGCAATCTGGAGCCTTCGTCACAAAACCTCAGAAGCAAAACCGGCGAAGGTACCAGCTGCGGCGAATGAGCCGGCCAGGCTCGAGGGAAGGGTTTGGGAGGATCGTTGCTGCGAGATGCTGGTTTAGGGTCTCGTAGTTTATTTGGGATTCGGCTATGCGTCTGGAGTTTTTGGAGTTTAGTCCAGGACGAACATGTTTGGAGCCACAGACGCGACCACCGCCTGCAGTGTCATGAGCCCCACGTAACGTCGCGACAAGATTTAAGCAGTCATAGGGCTTGCCTTCCTGTGTGATCGTGGACTGCGCAACTCAGGTAGCTTTAGAGATATTACGACACTGTGTCAGAGGGCTGTTGGAAGGATTGCCACGCTTTTGTTGTAAGAACCGCTACATTCACTGCGACTAAGACGACAACAACACAGCAACCACGACCACGACCACGACCGCCACCACGACCACGACCGCCACCACGACCGCCGCCGCCGCCGCCACGACCACGACCACGACCACGACCGCCGCCGCCGCCACCACCAAGCAAAACAACAAGACCTCCTTGCCCAGTGACGGAAGCATCATCCGCGGAGTCTGTTCGAGCGGCACTGAGGCAAGCTCCTTTGGCTTTCGAAGACGAGGAAGAGGCTTCCTGGGATAGGGGTGGTGGTCCTGAGAGTCTTTGAGTGAAATGCTTTCCTTGGCTTGAATCAGCAGACTAGTGACAGTCACTACATGTCGCTACTACTCTATTCAGTCAGCCGCCGAGGCGCCTCTTCCTGCTTGGACTGCTGCCCACTTACAACCAACCCCGGCCAGCTGTGACATGACATGTTCGTTCGCCATCTGCGTGTGAGCCCAGGTTGAGGTACCCTCACCTCGTGCTCTCTCTACAATCGTAGACGAGTTCGCGTGGTCGCGACTCGGATTCATTTGGAGGATGTTGGAGCCAGGCCAGTGAGATTTCTGCTTCAGGTCTGCGCTGCTGTACGACTTCATGCCCATGTCCGAAGCTGGGCGGAGCAAGGCAGACCCTTCCATCATTACCATCATTACCACCATCATCAGGATGTTCATCGTCTTCTTTTCATCAACAACATCACCAGCATCATCACCAACGCCATCACCGTCATCATCATCATCATCATCAATTCGGGATGGAAGATCATGTGCAGCCTCGTGTTCTTGCGAAAACGTCGGATAAACGGCTGTTCGCAAAGAGCGGACCGCTGGCACAGCGAGGCGAGTGCGGCAGGCGCGCAGGTTCGCGGCTCCATTTGCGACCACAGTCGCGATTCCACCACTCCCGAACCACAGTTCCGTGCGCATTTTACTGACCGACTCGTCATCCCGCCACAGTCCAAGTATCATCATCATCATCATCACCACCACATACCACCACCATCACCGTCATCATCATCATCATCATCATCATCAATTCGGGCCGGAGGGATCATGTCTGGGACACAGGCGATTCAGGTTTACAGCCTCGCCTTTCTTGCGCAACCTCGGATACATGGCTGCTCGCAATGAAGCCAAGTAGCGCGGACAGCTGCAGATCGGAGCATACTGGAGCCGAATTATTCAGGTGAAGTTCTGGCTTCGACGCATAGTCGAAGCCCACGACGAGGAGCTGGGGGACCTGGGGATCCAGGTGAAGACGTTCGGCTTCAAGGCAGACCGCGGCTCGGTTGCACGTTGCTTCCACCCGTTCGGTGGGGGGCTGGCATTCGGCTTCTGCCCTTGTGGGCGGGGGATGGCATGTTGCAGATAGCCAGATTGCTACTTCTTAGCAAATCATCGATTTCACGGAGATCTGCTTCTTGGCACAACGGAGACACGTTGCTTCCACTTTCAGTGGGGGGTGGCTGTTGCAAATGTTAACGAATCATGCTGCTTCCAGCGTGCCGGGCGGGGGATTGCAATGCTCGAGTGTTTTGAAACTCCAAGGACATGTGAGTCTGCTGAAGAC